TTTTGCACGCATAAGTTCGCGGAGTCAGCCAGGAGCGCGTCGAGGCGAAGACCAGCCGCAGTAACTTTCTGCTTAAGCCAAGCTTCACTAAGCTTGCGCTTCCATACTTCAGCAGTGAGGCTGTCAGGACGCCGCCACGTGGGCTTTGGCTGAAGACGACCCCGCAGAGTACTGCATTCCACAGCTTCCCATCGAGCAGCAAGCACCACGTGGTCGCTGAGGTGGGCTTCGAGGTGTCCGAACCAACGAAGGCGCTCCGGACGGTTTGTGCAATACCAGTCAATGCAGCGCTCACTTTTCCAGCGCGTTGGTTTGCAATCAGTGACCAAATGGCCACCAACCGCACTACAGGCATAACTGATGTCGCAGTCATTGGGTTCACCGTTGGCATCACCGACACACAACCAACTGTCGCGATGAGCACCAAGGCTGGTGTGAAAATCACAAAGCAGATTAGCTGCAACGGAGTCATCTCCTGGCGGTGCGTAGAAGGTGATGAAGAGCGTGTTACTCACCCAAACAGCCAGAGTTTGCGAGCGTCCACGAACGTCACTACCCGCCGGCCTTTGCGGGAGGGCTTTAGGTACGAGCCAGGCGACACCTCCTTCCGCGACCGGGTGTCCCCAGCGTCCAACGTGCGTGCCACCAGCTTGAGTGTACAAGTTCCAGCCAACCCTAGAGGCCTGGCGTCTGAACCCTTGCACCTCAGTTGTAAGCAAACTGAACTCCTGTAGAGCGAGCACCGGTAAGGTTTTACAGTGTTGGAAGTGGTTCAAAGCACGCCAGGCGCCTGGAGCCCCTCCACAGTTAAGACTCAAGACCTGCAGACTACCAGTGGGGCCTGGAAGGCTGGCCTCCCCGACCCGGACCCCTCTGAGGCCCCCAAGTCGAGTCTGACCCTGCAGCTCTGCTTCACGAAGCCAAGTCTCATGCGCCGGGCTTGCCTCGGGAGGCAAACCCAGCACCTGACGTCAGGCCCCGCCTGCAGTCCCTGGTCCTCGGGAGCTCGCTGCAGCAGTGACCTTGGCACGTTTGCTGCAAGCCTTAGCGGACCGAGGAAGAGTTTGCTTCTTTGTGTTCTTAGCGAACTTGCGAGCAGGCTCCGCAACCTCGCAGCGCAAAAGAGCCTGCTTGCCCCGCTTACGGTACTTCGGTTTCAACCCCTCGTTCGCACGTTGGCGTGCCCATGCGAGAGAGCGTTCACTATGAGGAACATGGAGAAAACATGCTTTATCGATAGCTAGCATACTCCGCCCGACGGCCTTACAGAAAGCAGCAGCGTAAAGCGGCTCGTGGGCCTTGACGCGCGCCCACCACCCCCGCCTAATGCGCTGTGCATGAGCGTTCGTGTTCAACTGTTGGAGACACTGCTCGCAGCTAAGGCCGCCAGCACCCTTCTTAAGTCTAAGCTGCGTGAGGCAGACAGAACAAAAGTGGTGAGTGCCCCTCAAGCCCCGCGCGTTGCGCTCAACAGGCACAACCTCAACTATGGTGTGGCTAGCGAAGTGGGCCTCTCGAGCAGCAGCGTGTTTGGCACGGCAGGCTTTCCGCACCCCGTCCTTGCGCTGTTTCTGTCCTCGTCGTCTTTTGGCGTCCAAAGTGCGAGGAGTCTCACGCGGATGTTCTTGAGCGATGTGTGCCTTGATCGATCTCTTCTTGTCTTGTGCCGAGAGGCACGGTAGTCCCTTGAAGCAAAGAGGGCACTCCCAGTCCCGTTCCGCCTGAGGCAAACTAGCAGGAACAAAGATGGAAACCATGGCAAAAAAATACGAATGGGAGCTTCTTCCGCCGCGAAGACTGCAGCTCTGCTTCCGCCTTTTCCTAAGCAAGTCTTGATTGCTGATCTCGCAGTTTTGCGAACTTTCGACTCGTGTCTTGTTTATCTCTCTTGAGTAAGTCCTAAAGAACACACATGTTTGGTGAAAGAAAATTTTTTTCAACACCACATGCTTGATTTTTTCTGTTCAGAGTCATTTTTTGAGATTTGCGCGTATTCTGTGTGGAATTTGCTTGCACATTTCAGAATTTTTTTTTTCAATGCTACATCTTCGATTGTCTTTGTGGAGGTCGGCCGAATCTTGAGCGGCCTAAACTGTGCCTTTTTTTCAAGCCGTGTTCCTCATCTCGAAGCCATTCTAAGACGTACACTCTCCCGAAGCCATTCCATAGACGTACACCCTCCATTCTAAGGGTTGCCAAGGTTTTGGTTTTTGTTTGTCTTTACAATTCAGGTTCAGGGGCTCGAGCTTGGTTTTAGAATGAAGATTTAGGGCTTGGTTTTCAAATGAAGGTTTCGGGAAAGGGTTTAGGTTTTCTACGCGACACCGCTGCTCGTTATTGGGCATGGCATGATCCACATGTACGCTTGCTACCGTAGGCCTCAGGCCCCCTTCATGGTGATGGGCCCTGGCCTCCCGCTCATGCGTGGCAATTCCTACAATTGTTGACTGCCACCGTGTGGCGTGGCAGGCACGCGCTCCTTTATTTGGGACAAGGTCTTTTTCTGGGGTCGTGCGCCCTGGCCATTCGGCTCTGAGGCAGCGTCCATTAGTGTGGACAATGCATGACGGGAAGCCCCCGTGGGTCAGTGCCGGGCTCCCTTGCACCATCTTCTGTCATGCATCACTTGGCCATTCGTCTCTCTGCGGGCCTAGTGATCTTGCGCCTCAGGCGATGCCTATATATATATATATATATATATATATATATCAATCATGGGCGCTTGATTGTCATTGCGCGACCCTATCCACGGGGAGTGGGGCCAGTCGACAATGCACATATGGGCCATTGCGCGACCCTTGTTTCGGGAAGCAGGGCCATGTCTTATGCTGCCATTGCGCGACCCAGGCTTACGGGGAGCAGGGACAGTGAGTGAGTGCGGTAGGCCCGTTTGCATTTTAATTCACGCTGAACGACTTTGCCGGCTAAGTCTGTATGTCGCAGCTCTTGTTTCACTTTGTACAGCTTAGATCTTTCTTCTTTCTTGTGTATTCTTGTAGTTTCTTGCTGGGACCGAGTGCAGCAGCCGCTGTCTCCAAGGCCCGACCACGCCAAAAAAAGGGAAAGGGTTTAGGTTTTGGCAAAGGTTTAGCGCTGAGGTTTTATAATACAGGTTGGAGTTGTGGGTTTAGAGGGTGTAGGGTTTAGGTTTTCATAAAAGGCCTTGGGTTTAGCTTAAAAAGGTTTGAGGTTTTTCAGGTTTTGGGGGGTGTAAGGTTTAAGTTGTAGTAGGAAGTTTCAAAGTTGTTGACGTTGTAAGGTTGAAAATTAAAGTTTCAAGTTTTAAAGTTAAATCCTTTTTTCTTAAACCCTAAACTCGAAGGCGGAAAGCCAAGTGCAGGCCAGGCAAACACTCACCTGCGAAGGCAAGCGTTTCGCAGAGGGAGAGTTGCGGCCACTTACCTGTGCAGGCAGACGCCTCAACTAGCAGATCCGCGCGTTATTCCCGTCTACTTATTGAGCGAAGGCCATCGATGATCCAGACGGTGATTTTTGATGAGTGGCCGCGTTATGGCCTTCCGCCCTTGCGTGCGCCTGCACTGCCGCCTGGCCTACGCCAGTAGCTCCAGCCTACCTTCGCCCTCCAGGCGCGTTGCCTGCTTCGGCACATTGGCCGTTTTGGACTTTGGTGTGCACGACCTTGAACAAGACACGCTGAGATTCGCTGAGAGAGGCTTTTTCTTTCGCGCTGAACGGCCCATGCTGACGAAGCTTGCTTACGTAACTTTCTCTTATTTGTGAGGATGGTCGCGCCTTTCGTTTCACCGCTGTTTTGTGTGTTTGTTGGTTTGTGTGTTTCTAAGGACCGAGTGCTGTTGCCGCAGCCGACGAGGCCCGCAGACGCCAAATAAAGCCGCATACATAAGAAGCTGGATCATTTACAATCACAGCAAACATGCTTGTGTTGCTAATTTTGACGGAATAGCTTCGTACGAACGTTTTTGGAAGTAGAGACACACGAGGGTGATGTTGCAATCATGCTGCGCGCTTTGCTCGCTTCAGCACATTGTCGGAGCGGGTGGTGAAATGGATTTTGTGCTATGCTGCATAGATGTGCTCGGGAGTTGGAGCTTGCTCCAAACAATAAAACCACCAGGCGAGTGGGAAAAATGCTATATCATGGTATATCTAATGGAAAATGCACTTCGCCACAGCAGGAGACACAGAACAGAACGGTTTTGAGCGTTTTACAGTAGCGCGACGCGCATTCACAACGTGTTTTAGACGCGTTATGATCATTTCGCCAGAATTGAATCAACAGGCTTGGGATGTTGTGGTCCGCGGCAAAGATTGGGAATGATTGGGATGTTGGCCGAAGTGTTCCGCTGTTTGGCAACAAACACGTTTCAACAAAGGTTTGGGATTGCTTACGCCGGAAAAGAGGCCCGCTCCGAACGTCTCTTGACTGCAAGGCAAAACCCCGACGGGGCGCAATGATGTGCGCAAGGGTTTGATAAAGCCATGTGCAGACGAAGTTTGCGAGTTTCCAGGCACATTTATGTGGGATCTTTTTTTTTCTCCGAAAGCGGCAGACCATTGACAAATGAGTCAAAAAGCTTGTGGGTAGACGTGTTATAACGATAGGCGCATGAATAGTTGAAAGGTTTTTCCCAAATGCAAGGACATGTTTGTCGGATTTTCCATGCATGGTGGATGTGTTGTGCCTTCGTGGAAGCGGGTATGAGACCTGCCATGATTGGACTGCGGTAGCATGGATGATGTACGAAAGCTTGTTACTCGCCGCCTCGGCTCGAGGGGAACCTGTTGTGTTTGTACCTTTTTGCGCTGAGGCCAGGTGCTGCGGTGCCTGTTTGTCGGAGCAGCAGTCCGGCTTGTCGATTTTGCATGATGTCACACGCATGAAGCTGTGACATGTGCCATGCTCACGCCTTCTGTCAATATTGATGATTGCAAAGTTGACAGTTTGCCAGGAAGTGCAGCAAAATCCTCGGTCTTGGGAATTGTGTGCACAGTGTGCAGTGTCGTTGCTGCCAGTCGTCATGATGCAGTCGATGCCACCGATGATGCCGCAGCAGCCTCAGTTTGTGCGTAGCGCCGGCATGCGCTGTCAAGAGTTGGATTCGCGAATCGCAGTGCGCCATTGCCAGCAAGAGGTTTGGCAATGATCATGCACTATCAGGCCTACCAGTGGCAGCATGAACATGGGTGGAATGCCTCCGCAGGGTTTCCAAAGCGCATGGGGCTTACGATGACAGCTGGCAAAAATTACGACACGATTGTGGTGACATCCGCGGTTCTCACTTCGAACACAGATGCCTCCACAAGCTGGTGGGCCACAGGCATTGCTTGCCCCTGTGTTGGGCATGTATATGTTGACCAGTCTCTGCTGCATGCTCCCAGTCTCCCAGTGCTGCAAGATGCTGACAGGGCTCGATGATGCCGCCGATGACCAACATCCCTGGTTCGGTCAGTATCCAAGAAGTGACAGCTTTGCGTACAATGCTGCTCCGATTTCCACTCCGGCCTTGACGGAAAGTGCATGTCCTGCATGTCTTATTCAGCAAGGAGTGGTCCGTATCAGCCACCATGAACTGAAGCTGCCCGTTTGTGCCAGCACGGCCGATGCATGAACATGCTTACAGTCAGTGCTTAGTTTGATGTCGCCGAAGCACCATGCAAAAATAGTCCAATCATGACGACGGGATGCCAATCACGAACCTCGGCCAAGCGAGTATGCGTTGAAACTTGTGCTGCAGAAGGCAAGCACAAGGCTTTCCAGGATAGATTTGTGGAAGCTTTACATTCTGCTGCGTTTTAAACTGCAAGAGGCCACGATTCCCCGGACTTCCATACCAGGGCCTGGGTCTCAGGTTCGCTGCTGTCGTATGCCAGCGACTGTTGCAAATGGCAGGACTGGGATGCCAGGAGGAGCACGGGTCTGCTGCTGTGGGCTGAAACTGATGAGTTTTTGGATGCTGTCCATCTACGTAGCGAATTTTACATACTGCAGAGGGATGTGCCAGGCCAAAAGACTGGAAATTGGAGAGAGGGAAAGAGAGAGGCAGTGATGTCTTGTTACCATCCCGACCCAGTCCTATGCTGGAAGCTGAAGCGAACCGTGGAGACTGCTTTTTTTGGATGCGGGGAAGACGTAAGGCAGCGAGGTAGGGGGAGTGGGGAGCTCCTATTTCGCGATTTTGGTTGATGCCTGACCACGGCCTCATGGAAGAAGGGAAGGACGGGGGGAAGCGGACTAGTTTCGGTTGGGGGAGTGTGGTGATTGAATTCTTCTTGTTTGCACTTCCGGCCGGCTTTCCATCGCCCCAATGCCACCTGTTTGAATGTCCAAGGGGCTCGAGGGCCCCTGAGCCCAAGAAAACAAAGGAGGGAGTCTGAGAGGGTGAAAGAGCGAAAGAGTTCTGTCGGTGTAAAGACCAAGTAGGACAAGGGCACCGTGGCTGTGCACAGTTAAGTTGAGCAGAAGCTACAATGTAGTTTCGTTCACAGACACGACATGTATTATGCATCGCTTCCACGCGTTCATGTGAACTTCGTATTGGAACATTGTCAGAAAAGCTGCGTTGATGCTAACCGTCGTTTACGGGGACGTAGGCACACAACATCCACACCTTATGTGTATCATGCGCGAGGCGCAGTGCATTTGTCGAAAATATGAGAGTGTCGTACCATGCATGTATGAAGAAGTCTTGGACAGGAAAGGGAGTTGACGTGTTTGAAGTGCAATCTTTCCGACGTTTCTGGAAATCCCTTAAGATCAAGTCAGGTTACCCGTAGATTCGTAGATGGCCACTACATCGAGTGTATGTATATATATATATATATATATATATTATGAACATGCGCGTGCATCCCGAAGGTCCGTGCACTGATGCATTTAGTTCTCTTCCATCCCAAATCTCCCTTGGCTCTGAAGATTGATCAATTCTGTTCCTGCGTCTCTGCTAACACCTTCGGTTTGCAGGAGTTGCCATGGGTGCACCTCCTATGTCCGCGGCATCCTTGCAAAGTGGCTTTCAGCCAGGTGGGCTACCGAGCAGGGTTGCCGCCCTGCAGGGTCGTGATTCTCTTCAGTTGCTGCAAGGACCGATGAACTCCATGCCCAACATGAACTCGATGCCTGCCATGGGAGGCCTTCCACATGTGCATGTCGGAGCGGCCTCTACGTGAGTCATAGCGGTAATTTGGGGGTGCAACAAAAGAAGCCTGTGGCCTCGGCCTGGGCTTGGCTGGGTCAAGGCCAAGGTCTTCGGGATCCCACTTTCACCCTCCTGGGGCTTGGCAGATCCTCCCTGTTCTACAATCAATGAGCTCCGAAAGCCAGCTTGTTTGGGAACACACCACGATTGCGGCTGCACTTGCACTTCGAAGAAGCTGCACGAGGTGATTGCATGCAACTTCTTGACGCTTGTTGATGATGATGCTTGACCGCTGCCCAAAGCCATGCATCCACATGTCCGCGACTGATTCGTGTGCGGTTTTCCTTAATTTAGCATGTCACATGTGTCAGGGCGAACGACGGGACAATTGGGTTCAAGCTTGCAGTTATGTCCTTCATAATGGCAGCGCACTGGCCGTCGCATGGCATGTCCGCTGTATGCAAGTTACAGCCACATGAAGCTCGTCTCGCATCTCAGTTTTCCTTGAGCACATGTCCAGCAGAAGGGGGAGCTTGGGATCGGAGTCAGGATGACAGACATGGCTTGATGATTTTCACAGGGTCGGGTCTGCTCAACAAGAGCTGCTAAGGTGCCTGAGACACTGTCGTCGGATGTGCCGATGACAGACACGGAGGAGAGCTGGGCAAGAGCTACAAATGAGAATGAATCTGGCCAAGATTTGTACATTTATTCAGAAGTTTGGCTTCATGCTCTCTTTTGCTTGAACTGAATGTGGCATGTGTGTAACTAGGAAGGCGAAAACTGGACGCTGGAGGATGTGGTTCCATACTCGGACGATCTCTGCAAAGCACTGGAGTATTTACTGGCAGAACTCGAGTAGCTTGAAGGATGCATAGCTTCGGTCCTTCGGTTCTTGCAAGGTGCTTCGTCACCTTGGTGGCGATCTCACCAATGTCTTGGCCGATCCTTCGACAGGTCGGAAGCAGTGCAGGCGGTGCATGTGATCCCTATGTTGGCCCCCAGGACTCCAGAGGCGACTTGACCAGCCACCGGCGGTTCCTTGGCGACTGCCATGCGGAAACAGCAGCCAAGCACTGGCACCGTGCTCAGGCAATGCCCTTCACGTTTCTAGAGCCGTTGCCATTGGAAACTGCGGAGAAGGCCTGAGACTGCTCGAACTCACTGCCTGCTGAATTCCCATCACCCTGTCCTCCACATTCACGACGATGCAGGCCAAAAGATGTATTGTGGCAAACTTGTCACCGCTCGGTTCAGGAAGTGGCAGCCCGGTGTTTCTTGGCGTCTATCATGTCGTGGGCCAGTTGTGGGTAGTGCTTGTGAAAACATGATTGGAACCAAGGAAAGGGAGTGGCTTTACCTTCTCGCCAGGTCGATCTTTGCGCAAATTCTCAACAGCTCTTCTGTGGACTTGTTAACTAGTGCAGTGATGTGGCAGGTTTGTGGGGACATGAGTCCACGTCTTATCACAGGCGTTGTTTTGCCCAGCCTGACGTCACCGGGACCGTTGGGATCACCGATGGAGCCCGTGAGCAACTGGAAAGCACCAAGCTGCGCTTGCAGCAGTCCTGTATCTCGAAGCTTCGACTTTTGCTTTCTTCCTTCAGCTGACATCCAAAGTGAGGCAAGAAGAAGCCTGAACCGACAAAGAGCCTTGACTCGATGGCACATGCAGAATGCGCGTGGTCTGCTGTGCTGAGCCAGGAAAGCCATCTCCATCGGACGCTTGTGAATGTTGACACTGTCATCTTGTCGGAGGGCTTGGCTGGTCAATGTTGGAACCGCCCTGCCGAACCGAATTATTTGCTGTTTTTTTGCGGCCTTTGGCTTCAGAGGACCGAGGTTAAAGATTGATCAGGACTTGAGCAACGGGTCAACCAAGCCAAAATGCCATGCTAATGCCAATGTACCATCCGTGAATTCGAGCTTGTGCACAATAATCCTTGGCCACGCACAGTCGCATTGTACAGAAATTCAATATGGCCAGGGCTATGCAATTCATGCCGTGGCTTCCAAACCATCCCGATTAGCTGCTCGAAGCCTGCAGCAGCCGCTGCCCAAAGACGCTAGTCAGTAGTTTGTCTCTCCTCGAGGAGGTGGCGCCAGCTTCCAGATGCCACCAGCTCCAACACAAGGTGCAGGGGCCGCTGCGAAGGACTGCCTCTCAGAAATGCTGGAATTGTCATATTGGCCGTCAGGTCCACCACTAGCGATGCAGGGACAGTATATGCCGAACGTTTCCCGTCCTCAGATGACGAGTTGGCACCTCAGTTTGCTTCTGCAGAGAGCTTTTGCTGCTCGTCTTTCATCGGAGGCGTGGCCAACCCGCCAGTGGTCGCGGGAAACATCCAGTATGGTCCGTGAGGATCCTAGTCCTAGTCATGGAGTTGACACACGTGCACCCCCACTGCCCCACCCACTGCTTTGCGACCCGTCAAGGTCGTACAAGATGCAATATCAGCGAAGATCGACGGCTGACAAGTCAGCAGTCAAGTGCGCACCGGAATCGTTGATGTTCAACGCAGAGCTCAAGGGATTTTATCGTACTATGCCACCGTCACAGCATGGAGCGCAACTGTTGGTGTGTGTGTGTGTGTGGTCATTTCCTTCTCCAGCATCTATCCGAGCTTTTGCAAAAGGGCTGGAGGTGCATGTTGCAGCTTGCTTCTCTGCAAGGTACACAGGATTCCTCCCGCTCGAAGGCGTCTACGAGGAATCCCGGTGTTTCACGTGTCTTCGAAGCAGACTATCACCAAGGAAGTCATGCATGAAACATGATAGATTTCAGTCAACCTCAGTTGACTTCAGCCGCCATCATCAGGTTTGTCACCACGAGACACAGTCAGGATAAAATCTGGAGTGTGGGCTTCCTCGTTCAGGGTTCTGCTAGCTGCTAGCAATTGGCGGTTCCTCGCATGCCCGGTCCAGTGTGCCGGTTTCCTTGGGGAGTAATGACTCATTTTGGCCTCGATAGCAGAGGCCGTCCTTGCTTTGTTGCGTTGCCAATCCTCCCTTGTCCCTCCTTTAGCTCAGCTGTCTTGCCGCGGCATCGGCCTCGATCCTCGAAGATTCGTGGGTACTTGCATGAGCAGGGGGAAAACCTTTTCCAGACTCTTAGGTCGGCTGTTGATTCCGACACCTGGGAGTTGGTGGAAGTTAGTGCCGAAGCCGCCTCCCCTGCCACTTCCTCGGTTCCTCCTGCGCTTCCTTTGCGTAGGGACGTGCCAATCTCTTATCCCTCGGACCTTGCTGGACAGCTTGGCCCTCGTCTTGGTAAAGTGCCGGATGAGGCCTGTGTTTAGCTGCCATGAAGGGGGGGTGGAGTGTACATGTCTGGCATCCGGCCTGGTTCCGAGCGAGAGCAGTTGCCCCGCTGGGTGGGCCTTTCCGTGCCTCCCCACTCCTGCGTTGGTAGTGTTTCTTAGCCTTCCACATGGTAGACCTGTGCTGTTTCTCCGTTCGCATCCGCTGTGCCAAGTGGTCGGCTTCCTGATCATGCTTAGCCACAAGGCATATGGCATATGTTTACTTTCAACGAATGGTTTTGGCAGCGATAAACCTTGCACGAGCCCGTCAACGGGAAGCATGGGTGTGTGAGCGTGAAACGTAAGACCTTGAAGGGTGAGATCAATGAATGGGTGATGACGGCGTTTGATCTGTTGTGAGAAGAAAAAAGATGATCAGGATGGCCTCTGTGAACGATGCAGAGCATGGATGGCCCGAAGTTAACGATCGACTGTAGCCGGTGAAGATCTGTGGCGACGCTCAAAACAACTTTTGTGAAGAATGCCATTGCGACGTCGACCACGATTAGTGGCAAGACCGTGGGCAAAAGAACAGGGACATTAGGAGTTCGGCTGTCTGCGCTATATTATATGCCGCTAAGGGTATCGCCGTAGTATGAACACAGGAGAGGCAAAAGAGAATCAATCTTTGCCGTCATGTCGCTTCGGCTCCTGTTCTTCCTGCTCTTGCTCGTGCTCATTATCATGCTTTCAGGATGATCTTGTGCAGGCGTGTTTTGTGATTCGGATCAAACACCAACACTGCACCTGTTGACCGGAAGACGAGAGAGATGCCGTTCTCGCACAAAGGCAGATGCAACATGCCCTGTTGTGGCAATGTGCAGAGCAGTATGTCATTGGTGTTTTCACTTTGTCACCCTCACCTTCACTGTCACTCTCAACTTCACTGTCACCCTCACCTTCGCTGCCACTTTCGTTCTCATGCTCAATGCCACCGTCCACTTATTCTCACGTTCACTCTCACCCTCAGTCTTTCGCTTTGAACCTTAACCCTTATTTTGAACGGTTCGCGTCGTCCACCTCGGCCCGGCTGTACTTGAAGTAGGTGCAGTGTTTCGGGAAGCGACAGGTAGGTCGCACAGGTGAGGTCTTGCGTGAATGAGTGCATTTGCTCCGATGTGTTTTGAATGGCAGTATTTGTTTTGTGTTGAGGCTCTGAGCAACAGTCTCACGCGAAAGATGGCACATTCCCTGCATTATCCTATGGACGTTACTTTACAAATCGTATTGGATTTCTCACCGTTGGAAGGGGGAATCAAGCTTTGCAGCAAAGTATAAATCACAGCACCAGAATTCCCAAGCTTTGGCATCAACTTCATCGATGATGTAAGCTAGCCTGTCTTGCCTCGCTGCAAGGAAGAGACGAGGGAAGGGGGAAAAGGGAGTGAAGGGGGTGTTTGGACGTAGGGCTTGCCCAATTTTAAGGTGGGGGGGGGGAGGGACTTGTGTGGGAACCTCCGACGGCTTCGGCCGGGGCCGAGACGAATTCACCTTCCCATTCTTGCACTCAGTTTCACTCTCACTCCTCAATCTCATCCTCGCCCTAGTCTTCGTAGTAGACCTTTGCATTCTCGCAGTGTCTCGGCGAGGAAGACACATGCCGTGCGCGCCTCAGTGAGTTTGGCACCTTGGCGTGAGTTTGGCGAGAGAGCTTCATGCACTGAGGTATTGGATGAGAGCCGGCACAAGCCCACTCAGCAGCACACCGTTGCCCAGCGACGTGGTGCGATGCATGGCGACATCGAACATGTGTTCAACACACCTTGTGCGCGCGATCATGTTTGTAAGATTTCCCACAGTATGCGATTGGCGCATGTGAATTTAACTACCCATGGAAGTGGCAACCATGCAAGTGACATCCGAAGATGGTTCACATGTCTCACTCAAAGGAACAACTGGAGGCATTGATTTTATGCGAGCCAAATAGTTGCGAAGTTTTGTGTCCTGGATGAGATGCACAGGATTGATTTGCTGGAAAGTTGTCTGCTCGAACTTCTGCAATCCTGCATATGCAGTCATGTCAGCAGCGGCGGTTTGAAGGTGCTTCACAAGATGGTCTTAGCACTTGCGAAGGTGATGAAAACTGCTGCTGCGGGATCCAACTGCCTAAAGGGTTACCAGGCTTCCAGAGTATGGTGTGGCAATGTGGCTTTCAGATGCTTCAGTGAAAAGGCCCCCATTAGCATCTCCTTACTCCTCCCGTCGCAGATCCAGCAATGGCAGCCCATTGCCCCAGCAAGGACTTTGACAAATGTTGTCAGTTCGGTCGCCGCTCACGTGAGCGCAGAAATCGCATGCAGGCTACAGCTTCTACTTGTCATTTTCCACTAGCCCACCTCCTGCAAACACAAGTGCCAAGATCAAAACTGCGTAGAAAGGTATATGCGGCAGCCAAAACTTGGTCTGCTAAGGAAGACAAACTTTGAGTGTCCTTAGTCCAGATGCAACGCTGCAAAGCTTTGCGCAGGCGTTTCTTTTTTGCCCTTCTGAAGCGCAGAATTACTGCACATCGTTCTTCGTCTGCTAGCCAGACATGTCTCGTTGCAGCCAAGCTGGGTTCAAGGGTGATTGAGCAAGATCAGCTTACTGTCTTGATGTTGGCACGCAGACTGCCTGACAGGGGGCATCGAAAATGAGACAGAACTGTGACGCACGAGCAAATTTTAGTTCCAGTCGAGGAGGGTCGAAGAGGCGCACAGGTTTGTTTGAGGACGTGGAGCTGGCAGGGGCCGGCACCCGGATTCCGCCGAAGGCGGCCGGCGGCGATCTGAGATGCATGGGCCAGTCAGAAATGTTTCGTTTTTCGGATCCATTCCTTCGGTCACTGAGGGTGCCCTATGTAATGAAAGAGGCCGGTCCCTCGCAGTTTTTTTGGGCGAAGCAGCGATGCATTTTAAACCGGTAAGCCCTGCAAGCTTCATTCGGCCAGGCTCGAAGTGGAGTCAGCACCTCCACAACAGCATCCTTGTCGCTTCCCGAGCGCTGAAGCATTTTCGGGTTCACGAGGCTTTAGGCTTTGCCTGTTTGCACGGAGCCTTCGTGCGGCCCAGGGCGGCAGAGTCTAGTGACGCCATGTTTGTTCGGGACTTGGAACTCGACACCATCGTGGCACCAGTCTCCCTTTCCAAAGCTGAGGCCAGAGGAGACGATGGTGATCGAGAAAGGTCCTGAAGCAGATCCAGGCTCCGTATTCCGTCGCCTTGGCGCCAGGTTTGTTCGGGAAGAGGTCCCTTGCATGTGGCGCGAGCCCCAAAGCGAAGTAGAGGCTCAGAGTCTCAGAGATCCTTCGGTGAGGTGCTGCTCGGCTCACTGCTCCAAGGCGCCGCAGAGCAGTCAGCAGTCACACAGCAGTCACCGGAGTCCTCCACTGCCGGGATCCGCCGAGGATTTCGTTCCGCAGCTGTCCGCAGTGCCGCGTGTGCCCAGTCGAGGCAACGAGACGGGTCCTCCTACCGCACGAGCTTAGGAGCTTTGTGGTTTTAGTGTTAGTGACTTTAGTGGCTTGGTGCTACGCGCCCAGCTGCAAAGGAGCCTCCAAGTCAGAGCTTCCACATCAGGATCAGGGCCAACGTAGCCAAACGTTGACGACTTGTCCCCTGCATCTGTTGGAGGCTTCGTGCAACGTCTGGTTTCTGGACGTTTAACAATCGGACAGATCGCCCCTTCGGCCGTGCATGCCGGTGCTGCGGTGTTCTGTCTCGAGTGCTTTATGTTCGAAGGTTTGGGGACTGGTGTAAGAACATCTGCCTCTGTGGCCATGGCACATTCGCCCTTGTCCTTGTTCATGTTGAGCTGGCATTACGTATTCTCGCCATTCGAGCTTCGCTCTTTACCTATCCTCTTTGTTTTTTTTTCTCTCTCTCTCTCTCTCTCTCCTCGCTCTCTCTCTCTCTCTCTCTCTCTCTCTCTCTCTCTCTCTCTCTCTCTCTCTCTCTCTCTATCCCTCGCTCTCTCGCTCTCTCTCTCTCTCTCTCTCTCTCGCTCTCTCTCTCTCTCTCTCTCGCTCTCTCGCTCTCTCGCTCTCTCTCTCGATCTCTCGCTCGCTCTCTCGCTCGCTTTGTGTGGCGATAATTTTTTCGCTCGTCTCCGGTTCCGCTATTTCATTTCAGGGTTCAACACCCAGTTCTTGCGCAGCTCTAGGTGCGTGAGTGTGCACTGTGCACTCTGTCCGCCCCCCTGGCGTTTGGTGCCGCTGGCCTATACTGCGCGGAACGGACAGTGCACTGAGCCTGTGCATGAGTGTGGACGTGCCAACTCCATCAATCTAAACTTGACTTTGATGCTTGGGCCTTCCGGTAAATGCTTGTGCAGATCTCAGCTCTTCCTCACCCGATGCTTGTGCCGATAACGGCGTTGAGTTTTTCTTGAAGCTGACATGTAAACGATGAAGTTACACGGAGCGCGATCCTCGAACTCGTCTGTTCAAACCTGCTTGGGATTTTTAGATTCTTGCTTAATGTATCGATGTTCGTCCTCTTCTTTACAAGATGTTTGAACTGAATATTGTGTCTTGTGCGTTTGTGACCACCGGTCGTTCGCATGCAGGCATGTTCGTCGCGAAGGAGTGTCACCATCGTTGAAGGTGTGTGTTTGTGTCATTCCAAGACTCATATGTAATGCATGTCTCCGTCTGGTGGCTTGTTTCACCTTTCGTTTATTCCACTGGGATGCAGATACGGAAGACCTCCAGACAAAAATCCTGCATGTTTGGCAGATGTCGGTTGACGGGGTCCGAATCTGAGTGAAGCCTGTTGCTCCGACTGCAGAGTCCCAGAATGTTTGAGACCCGTCACGTCGTTTTCTTGTTGGAGTTCCTGCGCAGCTTTCCGAAGTCTTAGCATTTGTTGGCAGACATTTGCCTGGGGCTTGCCGACCTCACCAACATCCAGCCGAATTTCAACGGAATCTGGCCAGGGACTTGGCACGAACATAGCCGTTCTGATGATTCTCGCGCCATGTCTTTTCTAGATATGTAGCACCACAGAACAATCTGCGGTTTATTTCACAACAATTCATAGGGCAGGAACGCTAAGTCGTGACCAGTTCAAGATGCATGCTTGCACACAGTCACCCGCGAGTTTTCTCTTCCAACAATTTTCAAGCTTGTGGCGTGCTGTTTAAGCAGATGAAGTTGCCCGAGTAGCCACATGATGTATTTGGTGGGCCAGTGCAACCAGAGCAGATGCAACCCCGCATGCCACGTAGGCCAGCACGGTAAATTTTTAGCGAATGCATGGTCACAGTCGTTCTGGGCTTCACTTCACGTCCAGCAAACCGAAACTCCGGCTGAGTCTTCAAAGACTTGCTCTGGTGAATACTCCTACTGCTGCTGCAACAACCGCACGTGTCGGAATCCGTCGCGCGTTTTTGTGCAAACAAGCGTTTTGCCATAGCGGGAGCGCATGTTATGACTCAAAACGAGGCCTGAGAAAAAGCGCTGGCTTCAAAGCTGGATTTGTGAACGCCATGGCGCGCGTAGCACTTTCCGTGATTCGGCATGTCCCTCTTTTGGGTCTTGTTTTTTGCGTGGTTGAGAGACCGATAACACAGCGCTCAGCGAGGTTTTCGTTCACAAATGTGATGTTGTATTCGGCGTCTATTTTTCGTGTTCTTGGAGCCTTTGCACTGAATTTCTGAATCGCGGATGTGCCACGAAAGAGAGGTAATTGAAAGAGATCTGTTCGAATCATTATGAAAGCATTGGGAAGTCAAATTGATTGAGACGGATATGTGAAAAGCTTTCCCAAATCTGCATGGGATCATCTTCGTCAGATGTGCCTATCGCAGAAAATTGCATCAGATCAACTTCGTCAGATTTGAGAGATTCATCCGAGTTAAATGAAAGGGGTATATTCCAATCAGTATGAAAACATGGGGAATTCATATTGAGAGCTTCGCAAGACCGAGTTTCTCCAAGAGTACGGGCAGCGCAGAGTCTAGGGCTGCTTGTGGCGTTACAACACGGCTACAGGAAGTCGTCCATGTCGGCCGGCTCACCCAGCCATCCGCCACAAGCGCATAATCCGTAAGAGAGTGCGCAAGGGCTCAAAAAGTTGAGACAGGCAGGCTAGTATCGGAGCGAAAGACTGGCTACTCATTGTTTCTACCGCATGCCACAACACCCGACTGAGCGCACACAACGTCAGGCGCAGGGTCTCGCACCACTACCATTACTACCATTACTATTACCACCACTACCACAACTATCACTACTAACACTACTAGCACTAGTACCACTACTACCACTACGACAACTACTACCACTACTATTATCCACTACCATCTACTACCATGTACTACCATCTACTATCATCCACTACTATCTACTACCATCTACCACCATCTACTCCCACAGACGACTACTACTACTACTACTACGACGACGACTACAACTCCTACCAGGCGTCTCGGCTCACGACGCCTTGTTTCCGCGGGTGTGGTTTGCGGGGCTTCCTTTTCTGGATTGGGGCTCCGCCCATGGCTCTTCGGATTCAGGGCATTGTGGTCTTTTGTCCTCTACATGGAGCCAATGAGACCCCTCTGCGGCCGAAATGGCGGCAGGGCCAGACGTACTGGAGATTCGGCTTCAGCAGCTGGTTCTTGAGTATTTGTCTGGGTCTTCACAGTTTTCCGATATCATTGCAAATGCATCTTGAGTCTGTTCGGAATGTCCTTGTCAGAAGGGATCCTTGACGTCACAACATCCTGCAATGCTTGGGTGAGGTGGGAAACAGGGGCCACCCGGCCACCTGTTACCAAGTTCATGCATTTGTCCAGAACTCATGGTTCCAAGGTCTTATCTTCAATCTCCACTTTTCCAGTTTCGCTAGCTGGATAAGCAACTCTTCCTCCTCAGAGGAGATCGGTTGCTGGGCTGTTAAGACTTCCAGAAGGCGCTTCCACAAACGCAGGATGTTGCGTCCGGCCCTGCCATTGGGCTTGGGCGGTGGCATCTCAATCCGCTTTGGCTTCTGCTTCTTCTTCTTCGTGTGTTTACTTCGCGGGCTTCGTCTGCCCTGTCCTTGAAAAACCTTGGCCCTGAAAGGTTGGGCCCCCTCGAAGCACAACCTCCCATCCAGAGCCTGTCATATCAAGGTAGTTTTGATCTGGGCTAATCAAAGAAGGTCTTCTCCAGACTGGCACTCTCACATCAATGCACGTACCCTCCACTCGAAACTCAAGCTTGCGACAGTTCGGTACCAACATGTCCCCGACATCAATCCCATCAGTCCAACCACCTGTGTGTGAAGATTGCGGCGGTGGTTGTGGCAGACCAGTCCAGATGAGCCAGGACATAAAAAGCCCACTACCCGCAACACTAGCCGCAAAGAATTTCCTTCGCATTCTACGGCCACAGGCTGCACCTCTGCACTCGAACCTGCGGATGGGATCCAAGCAGCTTGCACAACACCAGCCATGGGCAATGGGGCAGAGTCTCGCAAAGTAGACACCGTCCAGTACACCGCAAGCAAATTCTTCATCAAGATCAAATGTATGTAGCACGCTGATCACACGGTACCAAAAGCCAGGCTTCTGTCCGAACCGGGTATGCCGATGTGTGTCACCAAGCCCCTTCATGTCCGCTCGTCCAGAATCACCCGACGGAGGAAACCGGTAGAGGATTGGCTTCGAGGTGTTGAGGAGCGTCTCGTGTGCTTGCAGGAAACCCACCTGCCCCCTGCAATGTGGGACAAGGCGGTCGGTCTAGACAAGACTGGCAGTTCAAGCACAATCAGCAAGCTCAGTCGCGCGCCAGAGTTGCCTTGCCTGCCGTGCGTATTCAGATTCTTGATGTTGTCTATGATCGCTGTTGGCGAATCCAAAGTGCCCTGATACAGCGTTGCGCCTTTTGGCACAGCACCATGCAGGGTAGCCCCTTCTGCGGATCCAGGGCCCCAAAGAAGCGACCAAGGCTGAGATTGTGCAGTATGCTCCTCAAACTTCGAATACTCATTCCTTTCAGCTCTACACACGGGGATCGTCTGTCAGCTCTAGGTGTCTGCGCTGCGGTCTCTTATTGCAGGCTAGCCGGCGTCGTCCTGGATTGTTGCAGGTCATGCGCTTGCCTTGCTCCTTAGGGTGGAGGTTTCTGGATTTAGGTGTCCATGCTTCGCATGAGCCGTTTGTTGATGGTACTTCCATTCGTTGTAGGCAGTGCAAGCGCAGCCAACATGTCCACAGCTTTATCAGTCTGAACAAGTTTCAGAACTGGTGTAGAGGACGTAGGTAGGGTTGGATTCTTCTTGGCACTGCCATGTCTGTTGTTGGAAAAAAAGAGCAGGGCTTCACCCTGCTTGGTGGTCGAGCCACTCCCACTAGTAAACGTGCTGGTTCGCGGCGGCACTGCGATTTGGTCCGGAAGGGTTAACAAGCTCACCTAGTTGAGGAGGTTCTTTACCAAGGGTGCGGGTACACTTCGGCCCGCATCAGGACAGCAGGCAGTAGCCTCGTTCCTGTTAGCCTCTACTTCAAGTCGGGGACCCCTTTGACAGTGCCACCCGACTCCACGGTGCGGGCTAAACTCCTCTCGAGCATCCGGGACCACTGTGGTCCTTGGTGTGTCATCGGTGACTTAAATTGCGAGCCGGAGGATCTCCTGAGATTGTCAGTTGTGACTGAGTTAAAAAAGCAAGTCCTCCGCCCTTTCAGGAAAACCTGTGACTCCGGAAGGGAGATTGATTTTGCAGTTGTCAGCGGGTCTGTCACGGTGGTCAGCCAGTGCCCATCGTTCCCGGATGACAGAGAGATCTTTGTGAGCAAGGGCGACCAGCCACCTAAGCACCAGGCCCTGTCCAGTGCTTCATGGCTGGGCGTGCCTAAAGAGGAGGCACAGGATGTTGAGTTTGCGCAGCTGTGGCCGAAAAGCAAGCACCGCAGAGGGCAGCGCTTCGCTCTTGTGCGGCGCAAGCTCCAGATCCCTACAAAACCAACCACAGCGCATGTGCGAGCTTCGCTGTGGGATAGAGTTGCTTCGTCGCTTGCCTTTGCTGCCCGGGGCAGTGTTAAAAGGATGCGGGATCTTGTGCAGGGCCTTGAGGACCAACGTGGAGAAGAGCATTTCCTTTCCCTTGTTAGGGTTGGAGCCTGGGAGCACGCGGCCAGGATGCCCCTCTGAGCGGCATACAGCAGTCAGAAGAGCTCCGACTCCACAATTCTGGCTCCTGAGTAAACTTGGAGGCTTATGTTCAAGAGCAGGATATCCAACCTCCAAAGCAGTGTCAACCCAACCTCTAAAGCAGTGTCAGCTCACGCCTAACAAGCCACCGTTTCGTAAAAGGTGCTCAAGTCTAACAAAGACTGAGACCCTCGGCCTTTCACAGGGAGATCTCTAGCCTTGCGCGGACCGTAAGAAATTCACCCTGCACCAGCAGCCGCCTTCAGCCGGGGTAGGACCAGGTCGAATCTGACCGGGCTGGCTTGCCAAATTGGCATCCACTGCACAGTCCGGAGGAAAGGCCGAATCTTGCCTGGCTTTGTTCACGTGCTTTCACCGCCCTGAACAAGGGCCTGAGCCCTGCTTGGGAGGCACATTGCAGCCTGTCCTCGTACCAGCCTGGTGCTACCTTGACCGCTGCCTTGTCCGCTGCAGCCTGCGCCCGAACAAGCACTTGGAGGGGAGCTAGCTCAAGTAGCCCTCTTCCCAACATGCCGCAAAGCGCACGCCCCAAGCTTGCTGAGCACATGGACCTATGGCTCGACGACTTGTCAGCGGACATCTCGAGAAAAGATTCGGCCCAGGTCCAGCCGTCGGTCAGCCTTTTCCGTTTGCTGGAAGTCGGCTTTCTGTGCAGTGATGCTGATACTTAGAAGTTGGTCCAAAAGCGGCTTAAGGCTTCCGACCCTCAAGTCCTGTCCCTTGTCACGGACCGAGGTGTGGACAGCGCGGCTAGCAACACTCGGTTGAGGAAGCCTCTGGCCAGGAACATGCTGACTTGTGACGCGAGGTTACTCCAGCATTTGCTCTCTTCAGCCCACCCTTCATCCCGCCCCACCACTATCCGCAACCCAGTTTCAAAGCGGTCGACAACAGCCTCTACTGTACTGCTAGCCTCTGACCCACAAGCTGGCAACACGACCCCTTTCATCCTGGCCTGCTGGGCCAGCCTGGTGAGTGCTTGGGTGTCCTGCCTTTGCAGCGCGACCGCCGACCAGGAAGCAAATCCGAAGATCGGGGTGTCTGCCCTTTAGACCTCCTGAACATTCCTGAACCATCCGTACCAAAGAACAGACTGGCCGCGGGAACCGCTGGACGAACAAAACCTCCCGAGCACACGGGGTCCATTTTCTCAGGATCGTCGGGCTGACGACTCTGCGACTCTACGACTCTACGAGGCTGGATGGCAGGAGCCTGCTGTCAACCGTGCCCATCTTGGGCACTTTTACAGGACAAAGGCCAGTGTGTTTGGGGCTCCTCAATGCTGACGGTGCAGCCTCCGTCCCATGCAAGTGTTACCAGATCCGGGGCATGGAAGCCAATGCCATTGAGATAGCACTGGAAGGCAGCAATTGGCAATTGGGCCAGGCAGCGACTGAGCACGGCTGTGGTGAGTGGCTCAACCGCTCGCCATGTGAGCCTCCACACCCTGTCAAGAGTGGCACTCACCTTATCCAGGACTATGCACTGGGCCAGAACGGCCCAATGGTCCAGTATGATGACCCGGCCCCAATCACATTGATGTGACTGCTGCCCGAGGCAAGGGGAAAAGAGGTGCTTCGAAGAGAAACCTCCTTCTCCAAGCTGTTGCCAGCAGGGAGTCGCGAGGCCACGTCTAGCAAATCGAAGCCTAAGGGAAGCGCAGTGTCTCCATCCAATGCAGCAAGGGTGCAGGAAATGGACAGTAGGAGCGTCCTGGTCAGCCTGTTACCCCACCCTTATGGCGACATAGAGGCAGGGGTTGCGGCTCGTCATCACGTCCATTCTTCGCGTGACATGAACAACTGTGGCAGAGCATGGACGGGCAGTAATTGCGAAAAGTCCCAGACTGTCCAGCCTTCTAGCAGCCAGCGGCAACACAGCGTGAGTGCCCGGGCCCGGCCCCGGCCATCTGGTCTTCGAGTGTGCCCGAACCCGGCCATCCGACCTGGTTAGGACCTTCTGGCACTGAGGAAGTTCTACCCGAGGGATTTTCCCTTGGTGCCGCTTGGCAGCCATGGGCTCTCAACACAAAGGCTGCTCCAGAGCAAACCAGGAAAGTGCAAACTGTTACAGGCCAGTCCTGTGGAAGATGAGTGTGCTGCACTACGAAAGGAAAGGGTAAAGGAAAAGGCAAAACTACAACGAAAAGCAAGCAAGTGAGCCGACTCCCTGCAGCACCTCAGGAAGAGGTACAGGCCCCCAACAGAGAGCATAGGTTGCGAGGATTTCCGAGCATCAGCCTTGCATCTTTCCGGGCCCACATGTGGGCTCTGGCAATTGATGTAGAGGAGGAGTCCTATGAGGATGTGACGTTGAAGCCTCCGGCTTTTCCGCCCAGCTGCAGGGCACAGCAGGTGGACTTTCAGCACTTAGGTAGACAAAGTGCCTGCCTCAGGTGAGCTTCTCCCTGGAGTCAGCAGCAGCAGCCAACAGCGCAGCAAGCCACATTTCTCCAGCCGTGTGTGGGGGGCTGCTGCGGCGAGCCCGCCGTACCTCAAGCAAGCGTATGGAGGCGCCTACCTAACATTTAGGAACGGAGGATCAGGAGCTTCTCCCTGGAGTCAAAAGCGGAAACCATCGGGTCAGCAAGGCACAGGCGTGATGTCCGCCCAAGGTCCGGTGAGCCCGCCCAAGCTCGAGCGTAAGCTTGCTTTGGAAGCAGATTCTGTAAGAAAACGAGGACAGGTTCCACTGCCTGAGAGCCGTAGCGCGCAGCCAAACCCGGGCCAGCCCGCTCTGCCCTTTTTCCGCTTGTCATGGCTGTCCCTTCCAGACTCTTGGACAGCGCCTGGTCTCTACGCCAAGGTGTTCACCCTAGCTGGGTATACGGGTATACCCTGCTTTGGCAGGACCAAAATCTTGGAGTTGATGCGAGTTCTGTATGGCTCTCAGGGCAAACGACCTTACCTCAGCCTTTTCTCCGCCCAACTCCCGGTGGCTCTAGCCCTACCTTCCTTCAGCTTTTCCGTAAGCGATGCCTGTGGGCTTACGCGGAAATCTGTGGTGTATCGGGACTTCCGTGCTTTGGCAGCCCGTAAACACGAGGGAATGGACAGAGCCTCTCGTCAGGGAGTATTAATGAAACCCCTACTTAAGTGCATTACCCACTGCGACGACGACGACGACGACGACTACTACTACTACTACTACTACTACTACTACTACCACTACTACTACTAGCCACCCCAGCCGCCTACCAACCACCTGGCGCCAGCCTGGCGCGTTAACCCATCATCATCATCATCATCATCAACTAAAATGACAGTTGCGGAAGATGCCGGTGCTGAGGCACCCTATATCTGTGACAGCTGCAGAAGTTGCCGAAGTTCACTTGCCTTAACCGTCATAGATGCATGGGCTCAGGCTCCATATTTGTGACAGTTGCAGAAGTTGCCGAGGCTCACTTGCCTTAACTGTCACAGCCGATGAAGTTGCAGAAGCTCAGGCCCCAAAACTGTGACAGCAACTGGAGTTGCAAACTCGATTGGGAAGAAATTGCCAAACCACCGGTGGTCGGATAGTACGATAACGCTGTAAATACCGTGCAAAACGCAGGTACTGCCAAGAAGGTTTCAACACTCCTAAACCTGAAGCGCAACATCTTTTAAACATCAAAAACAAAGATGCCAGCTGTACGTGGGAGGGGCTCGCCTACGCCCTTAAAGCCGATACCTCGGAGTGGGAGGGTTTGCTTTTGAAGTGGTGTGTGGTGTTCGGGAGGCCATCATGCCCACCCCGCCCAGAAGCAACAACGGTGCTAAAAAAAGGTGTTTAGCAATGGACTACGACATGACCAAACAGCTTAACTACCGAATAAAAAACTAAGCTTCCTCCCAACCAATCCTGAGTTCTCGCCGAAAGAGATCCCAGAGCTAAATGTCGAGCCTGCAAAGTTCAGAGGTATCATCCCCCCCTCCCCCCACCCCTCCCCAAAAAGGCAAGTCCAGAATCGGAAGCTCGAGTTTGCAAATTCGCCAGTGAATTGTGAAGCTTCACAAGATGTTCCTACATGACGAAAGTGCTGTAAATTCCGAGTGAAACGGATGTGTACCAGAAGAGTATGTAAGAGGGGTGGTTGGTAGGCGAGGGGGGTGCCGGGGCACCTACTACTACTGCTGCTACTGCTGTTACTATTGCTACTACTACTTCTCCTACCGCTTCTACTACTACTACTACTACTACTGCTCCTCCTGCTGCTGCTGCTGCTGCTGCATCTACTCGCCTTGCGGGGTCTGTCGCACCAACTTGGGCCTTCGGGGAAGCGTGCCCGCCCGCGGTGGTGGTGGTGGTGGTGGTGGTGGTGGTGGTAGTGGTCGTGCTCGTGGTCGTTGTGGTGGTAGTGGGAGTGATCGTGGTCGTAGTGGCAGTGGTAGTGGCAGTGGGAGTTGAACTGGGAGTGGGAGTGGCAGTGGTAGTGGTCGTGGTTGTGGTTGTGGTCGTGGTCGTGGTAGTAGTCGTAGGCACCAGTACAGTGTTTTGCAGCTTTCCTAGGCTGTTGACCATCTCACGGCAGGCTTTAGGTTTCCGCCGGGTCAGACATTGCAGCGATTAGGTTTGCTTGTGCGTGCATGCCACAACACATGGTCCTTCCCAAGGATATGCGTGGAAGTGCGCGGCAACATGGACAGGCAATGCTCGGCAGTACTGTTGGGAGATGTTGAACATGCCATATCCAAATATTAGCTCGGTTTGCAGATCGTTGAGGTTCCTTCAAGAGATGGGATTGGACGAGGAGCTTCGGCAAGAGGCTGAACACAGCAACTACGGTGCCTCGCAGCATACAGACTCAGCGTTTCATGTTGTCAGTGGTGTTTTAAGCAATTGCTGCATGCTGCGCGAAGTTTTTCTTTTTTGGCATTCGCGAGTCGCGAGTGGAGCGATATCGTGAATGAAATGATGTCAGAAGCTTGTTCCAGAATCAATTGCTGTGCTGCTGTGTTGGTCCTCGCGAGAGTGAGTGGTTAGAAGTCACAGTTCATGCCAGGTGCGTACCAGCAGCGGCAGACCATAGTGCAGTCGCTTGACTACTGAAGATGGGAGCCAGTCTGTGTATTCAGTGACGAACTTGAGACTGCATTGACCCTGTCACATCAGCTGTTTATTGACTCCCTCATGTTAAAGTTGTATGGCGAAGGAGCACGGATCTATGAATGTGGCTTGCGAAGTTGAGTCTTCAAGGATCCAGGATATCCAGCTGCATGTGAATTTCATCGTTTGTATGCATCGTGCCCCTCTAATCAATCGACTCCTCTCCAAGAGAGGCTCGCTTCGTCGATCTTTGCGAGCCGACTAGCAGCGACTACCTAGCATGGCACGACTGCGATTCTTCAAATGTTGCCATCCACATAGTACATTCAATCATGCAGATACTGGAACTTGCAGAAGGGGCGCCAAGAGATCTGGTGTGCATCCATGGCAATTGAGGGTAAATCAAGCACCCGAGTGCGAAACTCTTAAGACAAGCCGTCGGACTCAAAACGAAGGGATATCTGTGGGTCTGGCACTCATGTAACTGTGACTGATAGGCCCTTTCACACAGCCCCCAATCCGTGTGCCCGCATGTATCACAATCGCTTGTGTTGCATGCAAAGATATAGTCTGGTGCCCTCCTTCCATCGAAGGTTTTTTCCTGAATACATTTGGAGTCGGAGCAACTGTGTTGCTTCTTAACAGTAGCAGTCAACCCCCTTCTCAGGAGTGGCAACAACTTTGAGATAGCCAATGAGTTGAAGGCTTGGAAGTCCTCATGGCCATCGGTCAGGATGGATGTTGCATGTTTACACCATCAGGCGCGAGTTGTCAGCGTCTTCAGTGTGGGCGGCGGGGCCTGGCGCCATGACATTCCGTTTCTTCATTAGATTTTATCAGCCGATCCTGTGCTGTCAAGGTTCAACCGAGTAGAGACCTGCACGGCAGGCAAGCGAGCGTGTGGGAATGTGTCGTTTTATCATGCTGTGTGACTGCTGTACTGCTGCCAATTTGTGCTGCGAATTCCAGCTGCACACACCACTCATCTTGCAACATCATCAAACAGCCCGCTCGTTTTGTCGTCATCATCAACTGTAGCAACACTGTAGCTTCTTTATCGAAAGTGATGGGAACCCACCCTAGATGGCGTATGACGTATTACTTTAAGGAATGAGTGTAGCGGAACTTGCTGGATTGCCTGACATCATGGACGGGTCTGCGAGGGAGTGCCGAACCGCTTCTCAAAGCGAGGAGTTCAGAAGACCGCGGAGACTCAAGATCTGGAACCGCGCTTGCAAGGCGACTGAGCGTGGGCTCACACGAGAATGAGCCATCAGCCTCTATTCAACACTCATCGCCGAACTTCGGCCGCCGGGATGGGCACTGCGAGTGGACACAGAGTACTGATGGCATGAAGCTGTGGCTGTGGACTACTGACTCCAAGCCTCAAGCAACGTTGGGCCGCCTTTCTGTCAGAGACCATTCTTCCCTTTGCCACCGTCCGAAATCAAGTTTCACTGAACGGGCTCTGCAGAGCACAGGGTCGCGTTGGGTGTCACTCGTGCCCTCGGCGCTCCCTGCACAGAATACACCCTCACGCTTTTTGTCGGAGGCGAGTTTGATTGTGGACGGCCCCACGCCCGCATGCGCCGCCAGGGACAGACGAAAATGATCTCAAAGGGTTTGGGGTTCAAGCAGCAAGGAGCAAAAACAATTTCCTTGGGATGCTCATGATGCTGGCTCCCTTCCAATGCTGCCATGATGTTCAGCAACCCGCAACTTCGCCCCAAGGGACGTGTGTCCATGTCCATGCGTGTTTTTTGCGGACGTTTCCGTCCAAATGCCATCAGTCTCGGAGCTAGATCCAGCTAGATCGGGTTTGCAGCCTGCAGTCGAACATGTGGGACAAACCTTCGGCCCGTCGGTACTTCTTCATCCCTCCGTCCAGCACTACGTCGCTCACTGTTGCAGCACGCGTCTGCACACTGCCCGACGCGGCTTGGCGGCCGGACCTTCTGGCGCCACCAACGAGCACCTCCGCATCCTTCTTGATGATGAGGAGGATGCCCAGCTGCTGCACGACACCGCCCTCCGCCTTGCCTGCTGAACTCCCCCCCGCAGTGTTCGAAGGTCTCCGGGTCGGACGCTTGGTAGCGCTTCGCAAACCTAATGGTTGGGTACGCGCGCTGGTTGTCAGTGACGTCTTCCGGTGGCTGGTTGCCTTCGCTTCGGAGTTTCAACAAGCGTGCTTGCCACACCAGTATGGGTGAGCCGTTTGCTCCGCGCTGCCACCGAAGCATGCCTGCACGCCGCTGTCCTCTCAGTCGACGCAGTTGGCGCGTTCGACCACGTCTCGTGTGGCGTGCTGCTCGGAGCTCTGCCTGCTCGGCACGAGCTCCACCCGCTCCTCTTTTTCGCTCGGCAGTTTTACTGTTCTCCGGGCATATAAACTTGGTGGGATGACGACGGTGGCTCGCATGATGTTATAGTGAGGGCGAAGGCGGCGAACAAGGCGACCGCACAGCATGACGCGTTTTGCGACCTGCAGCGCCAGCTCCACGACGGTGAGGCCGTTTTCGCTTTCCTCGATGACGTCTACATCGTCTCCCGGCCTGACAGAATTCGCGCCCTGTACGATGCCCTCAGATGCCCGCAGTGTTGCAGCGCGCCGCAAGCGACATCAAAGCTACCCTGAGTTCGCACGCGCCCGGCTGTGCTGCCTCGTTGTTGGCATCGAGGTTGGCGGCAGGTTCGGCACCGAGACGGTGCAGCTCCCGCGCTTGCTCGCGCGATACCGGGCCGACCAGCTGCTGTCACCGCCTGGGTTGCGCGCTGCTCCGGATTTTGGGCCGTCGCAGCCCTACGCGCGCTGGCGGTTCGCTGGAGTTGCCGTGCACCGAGGGGCTCAGCGACGGACCCGTGCCGACCTGCACGAGGACCTGGCTGACGCTCCGACCAGGCTGGTGGCGGTCCTCCCCGGACAGCGCCTCCCATAACAGCCGTGCGAGCTCCTAGACGCGGACACCTTTGGCGGGTGCGAGAAAGGTGCGGGGGAAAAACGTGATGTGCTGCTTCTGTTGCAGAACGACCGCTTTCTGCCTCTCAGCTCCCTAAAAAATGCATTTCGCCACCTTGCCCCGTGCGTCTCGGGAGCTAGATGCACAAGAGGCTGGGGCCCTTGTTGCCTGTCGCCCGCAACATGCGCCACGCCAACATAAATTCCACAGTCCCCGTAATCGTTTGCAATGTCTTCCACTTCGGCACGGGGCCGAGCTTGCTGTCGATACCACCTGCACTCGCTCTGTCGAACGCGGCAGGGCACTGACTCTGGACCCGGCCTGGCTCTTCGGCTCCGTCAGCTCGGAACACAGTGCAACACGTCGCGGCCCGCTACCCCGGCTGTCGTGCTCGCCGCGCTGCTACCTTGTGGTTCTCGCTGTCGACACCGGTGGCCGCTGGAACGCTGAACCCACAGGCTTCGTGCGGCTCCTTGCACAAGAGCTTGCCGCAAGCGCGCACACGCGGCTTTGCGAAGCTTACGTCCCCCGCTGGCGTGGCATCATCGAAGTGGCAGCACATAAGGCCTCCTCGCCTCTGCTGCCGGCGGAGACCCCCAGCAATGTCGAACCTTTCGGAAACCCGATAATTGTAGAAAAGCTTCTTGCATTTATGCGCCCTTCTTGCAAGCCGCAAGCCAACAGGCAAGGGAGCTAAAGCAAGATCTCTTGTTGTCGTAGCGTCGCCATTCCCCTTTCACCGTACAATTTCCTGCAAACTCGGGTTTTCATGCCGGCAGACTGTAGACCCACGTAAGCAAGAAAGTAAATCCGTTTTACGGGATGGGTATACAGTGCGTTCAGAGACAGCAGAAGCCCCTTAATGCATCGTCTGCGCCTGTGTTTTCTCAAGCTGCGCACAGTAACAGCTAAGGTAGGCCTCCATCACAGAGCCTTCGCAACGCCTGACGGGAGGCCAGCGGCGCTCTGGCCATGCACTTCTTACAAATCGTTTCCGCATCTTCTAGCCCCTGCCCCCTTTCGGCATGCGGGGCATCGAATGCCAGATCACGACACCAAGGTATGAACCGGCCATTTTCGGACCCTTGCACTAAGTGTGCGAGGCCCCCAATCCGCTGGCGAAACCAAGAGTCGGTCACCTCCTGCAATTGTTCACCGTCTGTGTCAGTGTCAGAAGAAGACGAAGATGACGATTGCTTTGAATCCATGTCCTCCCGACTGGGGCTACGGTCTTTGGGGCTCGAAACAGCATGAGGTACAACTTCGTTGGGCTCACTCAGCTGGCAAGCTGCTTCAACCTCGGACCATTCAGGCGCATACTGATTCAACGAAGACCAGTCCGGGGAATGGGATTTAGGCATGTTCCGGCAAGCCATGAGCAAAGCGACAATAACCTGGCGCTTGACATGCCCTGCCGACGCTGCATTATCATGGGCATAACGGACTGCCATAGCATGCGCCGCCGGCTGTTTACGCTTGCCAACAGCCTCCGAAGCAGTGCTTGGTTTCTCGGTCCACCCTCCGATGGCATCCCTTAGATCTCCCGGTAACAGGAGCGAATCAGCTGCTGTGGGCAGGAAGCGTCGAAAGGAGTACGAGGTTATTTGCACACCTTCCACCAGCTGCGGGCACACAGCTTGCAGCAATGCCTGAGCCATCGTAGCGAACTTAGCAATGCTCATTTGTCCCGGTTTCGTACATGTAGACGGCTGCAGGGGATGGCGCAACCCAAAGTCCAGATCAGGAATGATGTATCTAGCACCTGGCTCCTCTCGCAGACGCTCGTTCCAATCAACCAGGAGCTGCTGTCCGAGGTCAAACCCCGCTATCCTAGCAGGCAAAGCCCACCTGAAAGGCGGCCTAACATGACCCACACGGCGCTTCCCTTTGAAACATGTGCCTCTGAGCAACTGACCATCTATGACCAGATCATAAGAGCGCTGCACATGTTTGAATCGCAAGCATGCAGCCAGGAGCAAAAACGTCCAGGCCGCTGCTGACTTCAGACGGCCCTTCAGGGCCGGAGCTGCCCTGAGCAAGGCAACAAACGCCTTCACTGGTAAAGGCAGCTGCGGCTTGCAGCAATGGTTCAGGTCCACAATGGACCATTGCTGGACCAAGGCGTCCTGCACGGGCAACGGCAATCCTATTTTCCCTCTCAGCCACTTTAGGGACATGTACACTCCAGCTGCTGCTGTGGGACCCCCTGAACTGACATGCTGGAGAAAGGCAGACAAGTGCATGGCTTCAGGACGCCAATACGGCATCTCCGCGGGGCAATGCTGAGCATGGTATGCGATCCAGCGCTTCAGGGCACGCTTGTGGGCATCCAGTGCATCAGTTTGCACTGTTTGCAACTTCCTCTCAAAGATGGGTTTCGCTTCAAGCTGATATGCCACTAAATCCTTCCCAGAGACAATGTTCTCAGAGCCTGGCGCCAATGCGAGCTCGAACATAAGGTCAAGGAGCTGAGCCCGCTTGTCAGCTACTTGCAGTGGGTTCGCCACGACTGCTGGCTTAATGCGGAACCTGTATGCGGCAGGGAGCAAGGAAGCAGGTGGCACAGCCTATTTTTCGGTTTCGCACCCTGAGGCACTTTCGGAGCATGCACCAATGTAGCAGCGGCAGGTTTTCCAGCCGTATTCTCTCTTGCACACTGGCGGCCTGCCATGCTTTAGTCAGCTGCTTCAACAAGGGCGCTTCGGACGTGGCCTCCAGAATTTGATATTCGGACGTCCATAAATTCGCTAGATCAGAAGCAGTTTCAACGCCGATATCCTGAAGGAACTGCAAGCCTTGTGCATCAAGCTGTGCATCCACAGCTGCACTGATCATACAGATGTAAATCCAGGAAGGAGATCAGACATGGCTGAGATCAAAATTTCTCACCTGGACCTCTGTAAGCCACAATGGCTTCGACACCAGGGTCGATGTGCAAAGCTAAAATGAGTGTACAGCCCCTACCCAACCATCCTTCGTGTACACAGCATCAGAAGGTCCTGAAGTTGGATCGGGACATGACCCCGTGCGTCGACAACTCCCGGCACCACAACGGACAGAGAAACATCACAATCTGACGACTCCGTAGACAGCACTGTGAGATGTTGCGCAGCCGCGGCGTCGCTGCTCTGACTGAACGTTTGTACCAGGGCAGGATCCTGCTGGTATGAAATTTGCAAAAGCTCTGCGTACGCCTGCGCCACAAAGGTAAGCTCACAAGTCTGGTCACGCAAATACGCACACGCAGCTGCAAACCAAGGGATCGCATGCGTCCATGCATCGACGACCTGACTTGGCAACACGTCCGCTGCATGTAAGAGCAAGGGACAATACAGGAAGCTGTTGGTTGTTTCGTCATTGGTCGTTGGAGGCAGGCCTGCAAAATAACCGCGGTTTTCAACATGGCAAGCAATGCCGCCAAGCAGTCATCGTCTTGTGTGAAGGTACGACCACAAGTGTTACACACCCAATTACCCAACCAGCCGGAATGAACACGACAACCATTGCGACCGCTTTCAAACCGCTCAACGGGAGCCCATGTCATGCGCCGGCTGGCAGCTGCAATGTTGATGTCGATGTAGCGCTCGCAACACAACAGAACCAACTCTTGCGGCTCAGCCGGTACGACGGGTTCCTCGGGTTCAGCTTGCACAGGCAATTCCTGCCAGTCACGGGCAAAGCGGACACCGCCAGACTCGCAAGCTTGGCGGAGCTCGTGGTCCGCATCCTCACCAGGCCATGCCATGCGACCGTGTGGGCAGCTCGGACGAAACTGACACACACGCAATTGCACAGCACAGTTCAAGTGCAACTCCAAACGACACGAGCACGGCCAAGACCATATGGCATCACCATCAGGCGCAAGTTCACAGCAGCAAATCGAGCAGACACGCACATGTGGCTCCGCTGGCCCGGAGCCTACGACTGCAACATTGCGAGGTGTTGCAAAACTGTCCAGCTCTCTACCCTGCTGTAAATGGTGCGTACGCCCGCCTTGTTGCCAACAGTAGGTGTACGTGCGACCCATCCACCAGCGCACGAATGGGAGGCCGGGTTGGGGATCAGCAACCTTACGCTCTCTGGTAGCGTGTTGCCATCCTGCTCCTGCTTGCATTGTGCAAGGGACATGCGATGCCTTTGCTCACATTGTGTGAGGGGCACTTTAATGCTGCTTGCAGCCGTTTCTTTACAGCTGCTCTGGACCTTGCGCACGTCTGCATGTTATCACGTTTATGGACCGGTTAATTGCGGGCACCGCTGCTAGGAGTGCTTGTGTACACGCCCGACACGCCCAAGTCCATGACATCCGCTGGGAATGTGCTGACAAGACATAGGTCACACGTGAGGTGAAGACCGAAGCCTCGGGTTTGTGGCCATGGCTGTTCCGTCATTGGATGCATTCAAAGCTTGTTGCGCGGATGCTCGTATGCCGCAGGATCTCATCGATTACACGGTCAATACTGTGGGGGTGCAGTCCATAGAAGAAGACATCGAGGAGTATGAGGGTTCACCTGGTCAGTTTTGAGTGGGTTTTCTCATATTTGGGCGCCTGGCAGACCCAAGCCCCTGTAAAATCTGATTTTTTTACAAGGTTGGGTAAGCCAGGGTTTTGCACGTTTTGGGTGTCCTTTTTGGGGAATTGACCCGCTTGGTTTTCGGGTTTAGCTTGACGCGCGAACCGACCCTGCGAACCTTCGTGTCGAGGAGCCGCTCGAGGCCTCAACGCAGGATGGTTTGCTGACAAAATGGAAGACCCGCTACAACCTCGAGCTTACCGTGCACACGCAACCATCCGATGCCCTGCTGGGTAGGTTGTACAGGGAGCTTGTGCGAGCCACCCCCACGCTGCTCCCGGTCAATAATTAATAAAGTACGCAGTTTAGCATGGTGCAATCGCGCCCAGGGCACAGAACGCAGGATCACCTTGTCAGGCCAGATTTCTTTGCAAGTCGACAAGGACTGCATGGACGTGCCGGTGAGCAGCATCTTCCAGTACTACATGGCCCTCAGAGTGCTGGCAAACGGCCTTAGCATAGTAGGCAACATGCAGGTTGACAGTAAACTCAAGCAAGGCTCGCAATGTACTGCTGCCCCGTTGCATGTTAACCTGAACTACGCGGATTTTGCCTTGAGATCCACTGTTGATGTTGCCGGTTCCTCGTTGGAATGGTTGCGTGCGCGCGACGAAGCGACCAGATCCCGGGCAGTGGAGCTCCAGAGGGAACGCTACCCTCAAGGTGAAGCTTTGCTCACTGCGTGGAAAGAGCAGGAAGTGCATTGGGTCGTGCCCCCACCGCAGAAGCGTCCTGCCGAATCACATCAAGAGGGAAGCCCAACTAAGATTCCCAGGACTGGAAACAAGGTGGGGGATCGGTTTATATGTAAGAAAAGGAACGACAATCGGGGGTGCACGAGCAAGGAGTCTCAATGTCCGGACAAGCAATTGCACGTGTGTGACGTGCTCAAGCCGAACGGCGAAGTTTGTGGATCCAAGGACCACTGCCGCAACCAATGCCCACATCTGCATTAGGAGGCGGGCCGACTGGCTGCATCTAGCCAGGCATCTCTGTGTGAGGCGCAGCCAGTCGAGGCCGATGAGTGTAGATCTTTAAGCCCCCGGTCGTTGCCCGGATCCCAGCCTTCCTCTGCCTTACGCACTGTCGCATTCCGTGCTGATGACGATGCGGTGGCCGAGGAGGTCCCATCGGTACCCCAACCAAGCCCCCGTTGCGTGTTTGCGCACTGCACTCTCGGACCTTACTTCCCGATGCAGTGTCAGGATGAACAGCACCTTTTGCAGAGCCTCATGTCCATACAAGTCGCGACTTACGTGAGCTCTTCTCCGCTACCTCAGCTGCCATGGCCGCCCCCTCTTTGGCCGGTGTTGCTCATTAGCCTCTTTGACGGCATTGGCGGTGCCATCCTAGCGTGTTTGGCATTGGGCATGACGATAGCGGCAGTAGCCATGGAGCTGGACGAGGAGGCCAGTCACGTGTGTAAATCGGCTTTTCGCCACGTCGTGCATTGGCCGGATGCCCTGACATTCCCGGTGGACGCTTTGAGACCGCTACTGCAACAAGGCAGGTTCTCAACAGTGCTTGTTGTTGGTGGCTCGCCGTGCAAGTTAGCCAGCCGAATGCGCGCAGGCGAGGCTTGAGTGCAAAAGCGTCGCAACTTTTCAATATTGTGCCCAGGATGGCTGCAGACATCCGCTCAATCATTAATGCATTAAATCTACCAATGAAGGTTTTGGCGGTGCTGGAAAATGTGGAGTATGCCTCTGCTGACTTCGTGAAAGCCGCCAGCCATTTGATGCACGGCCCGCCGCTGGTGGTGCAGGCATCGTCCTTTGGATGGGTGCGCCGATCTCGATGTTTCTGGGTTTCGGACGGGGCTCGTAGTTTGCACTCCTTGAAAACACTGCAAGAACCACCTTTCGCTAGAGTCGCACGGGGCAGTCAGGGTAGATGGCGAGCCGCGTGGGCTTCTAAGAAGCCATTCCGCCATTCCCAGCATCGCAACCATGGACCGATGGTTTTGTGCACCAGTTTGAGCCCAAGGAGACCATGACCCAGGACATGGCCCACACTGCACTACCTGTCTTCACGAGGGCTTTCCCCCATCCGCTGGATGAGGGATCTAGGGCGTCAGATGCAGCGATCCAGCGATTCCGTGAGGACCAGGCGAGATTCCCGGTACATCAGTACGAACAGAATGCATTGCTCTAGAAGGAATCGCGCTGGAGGACTCCGTCTGCTGCGGAACGGGCTGCTATCATGGAAATGCCACCCAGCATGCTCGAGGCGGCCACGGCCCCAGAGCCATCACTGCGAGGGGCCACTGAGGACTTAAGACGTTCACTAGTGGGCAACGGCTTTCACATTCCATCGCTCATGTTGGTGATCGTTCTTAGTTGCACACTGCTGCCAGCTCGAGCAATACCCTCCCCGCCGTTGTATGATGTGTGGGAATCACGCCTTCGGGGCCATGTTTCGGGCACCGTGCGGCAACCGGGCATCTTGGAGGCTTGGCCAGGTGTCCTCTCTTCATCCCAGCTCTTGGATGGCCTTCAAGATTGCTATTCGCACATCCTTGATCCGCTCCCCGCACTCAGGCCGAACGACGATGTTGACCGTGCATGCAGGCGTTTGCAGGTATTGGGTAGACTCTCAAATGAGGGGCCTGGACAGAAACATGCAAGGTCCGTGCTGGGCGGCTCAGAAAGCTAAACGTATCGCAGCACTGGCCATGGGCGTTCAGAAAGGAGGACCCAACTCCAAATCGGCTCGCGAACCATTGCTCCCGCGGAGGCAAAAACATGCACATGTCCTTGGCAAGCTGCCTGCCATCCCCTTTCCACGTGGATGGTGCGTTGGACCGAGATGCTCCTTTCGCTGTCCGCTGCAACTTTGTTTTCGGGCCTAGTGTCCGTACATGGAGGAGGCAGCAGACACGAGCGATGCATTGTTTAGCAAAGTGGCTTGCTCCCATTGAGAGTGCACTTACGTCACGCATGCATGGATCCGTGGCTGCAGTTGCCAAGCAACGCAAACCAGCTTTCATGACAGCCATGCGCATCTTACTCAGGTGGCCTGACCTTACATTGGGGGTTAGGTTTGTCGAGGGCTTCTCTTTGCTGGGGTATGTTGAGTCCCCCTCCCTCTTTCGGGTTTTAGACCCTGCCCTTAAACCCGAGGACCACTGCATCGGTCTCCAAGCGATGGAAGGCCAGCCATCCGAGGACGCAGTCCAGCATGTCATGCTATCGTGTAAGCGTAACGAACATTCTGAGTTTCTCACCGAATTTACAAGACGAAAAATACAGGATGGCATAGCTTCGGGACCCTACACAAAGCAGCAAATGGATCAGCATTTCGGCCGTGGGAGGTGGCTGCCGATGTCAAGATTCCCGCATGTCCAAGGCTGCGGAAAAGTGAGGCCAATCGACAACGGCCACGCGTCAGGCCACAACAGTCTGTCGTGGTCTGACGAAACCATCTACACATCTTCGCCGGACCAGGTTGTGGCGGCGGCTAAGGCCTTCGCAGCAATGCTGATCCGTGAGAGCGACGAGATTCCCGAGTGGGCACAGCTTTGCCTGGGCACAGACGACATGTCTTCTGCCCTCCGCCAGTTGCCCAATGACCCGGCCGAAGATGTCAGGTTTGCCATTCTGCATGCGCACCCGTTTGGCCTAGCTTCTTCTGTGGTCAACTTCTGTAGGGTACCGGCTCTGCTGTCGGCCATCGTGCGCCGTTGCATGGGTACGTGCGCCACCCACTACTTCGATGATACATCTACGCTTGATACTGTTGCGGCCATGGGTTCAGGCCAGGAAGCAGTCCATACCGTTCACATGCTCAGCGGCATCAGCTTGGATGCGGCTAAGCGCCAGCCTATGGCCACTCAGAGGGTCTTTCTTGGGGTACTCTTGGGGTTCTGCGCTTTTCGGGATGACCTTAAGGTTTCCTTAGACGTGAAGCCAGGCCTTCGCAATAGCCTTGGCAGGGAAATCCAGACATTGCTGGATTCAGGAGTATGTGCGCCGGGTCAGGCGGCCAAACTCAGAGGAAAACTGTCATGGGCAGCTTCATCGGTTTTCGGTAGGTGTGCAAGGGGTGGCCAGCATGCACTTATCCAAAGACAATACCAAGATGCCACATCAGCGATTGACCCTGTATTGCAAAGGGCTCTGGAGTATCTTCAGACCATGCTTGCTCTGATCCAGCCTAGGACGGTGATGCTGCGACCTGTGTCTACAGCAGTGGTCGTTGCTTACACCGATGCTAGTTGGGAGCCGCGCGATATGACTTCTCCTGGGCTCGGAGCTGTAGTACTGGGTCAGGAAGCTGAATGCACCCTGGGGTTCGCAGCGTCAGTCGCAGATGAAATCCTGCGAGCCTTCCTTCCCAGAGAGACGCAGATCGCTCCACTCGAAGCTTTGGCAGTGGTCCAGGTCTTCTTGTGCTGCCCCGAGAAGTTCCGCGGTAGAGACGTCATCCTTTTTGTGGATAACACTGCCGTTTGCTCCGCATTGGTGCGTGGAGCCAGTACCGCTGCAGACATTGCTCACCTTTCATCTGCAAGCCATCTCCTGTGGATCAGGTTGCAATGCAGAGTGTACGTAGAGTGGGTACCGTCGGACGATAATGCCGCAGACGGCTTAAGCCGTGCAGGAGTCCGCGATCATTGGTCTGCAAGTCAACCTTGGCGCTCCCAGCATGTTCCGTGTGTACCGTGGCACACCTTTTCTTCCTGTTGCCTCAGTGAAGTGTCTGAGGCCTTGTTGCGTTGGAGTCAGGTTGCATTGGGTGCGAGCGTCATGCCATAGCATGTGCGAGTACCGCCGATGCGGCCCGCATTCTTAGCTCCAAAGACAGGGCCTCAGGCACTTTACAGAGTTGCAGGAAGAAAAAAGCGAGTGCGGCACAGTGTCAACACCGAGAGCGCAAGTTCATGAGCAGCAAGCTTATGATGCTGTGTACACGAAGGATGGTTGGGTAGGGGCTGTACACTCATATAAGCTTTGCACATCGAACCTGGTGTCGAAGCCATTGTGGCTTACAGAGTCCGTCTTGGCCACGCGTTCGCGACTGCGGCGTGAGTTTCATCACCTGGTGCGGCGTAAGAAAGAATCTTTTTGGCATGCTTGGCTCTCTGCACAAGAGCGTGACAGCATCACAAATCCGCGTCGCGCAGCCCATAACATTCGCCAGCAGCTTGGTCCTTCTCGTCGGCCACTCCCGGTTTGTATGCGCCTGCCGTCTTCCAGCGACGCCGCTGTTGAGGGCCGTGCTTGCCTTGAGGCTTGGCGGCGGCATTTTGGAGACGTTCCTGCATCTGCGTCTCCCCCTGCTGCTGCATCCGAGTCGACTTCTCCAAATTTGGATGGTGTTGTTCGTCGTCTGCGCGTCCAACGGGCCGTTTGATTTCCCGTTGTCTGACCCAGAACTTCTGAATGTGCTGCAATCTTTACCTGCCGGCCGTGCCCCAGGCCCAGACGGCTTGACCTATGAAAATTTCAGGGTCGATGATGACATTTTGCGCTCCGCGCTCCTGTCGTTCTTCGAACTTGTTCGCTGCTGGGCAGTTGTGCCGTCGATTTGGCGTTCTGCTGTCTGCTGTGGTCACGCCTCTGCACAAATTCGGCCCTGCCGATGATTTCGACGACTATCGGCCTATAAGCTTGTTGTGCTGTGCGTTGAAAATTGTTGAGCGGCTGCTGCTCAAACGCATGTTCCCCAGCGTGACCCCTCTTCTCGATGAAAGTCAAGCTGGCTTCAGGTGGGGCGCTGAGGAGCAAATCTACACGCTCGCTGAAACGTTGCGTCTTCGTGCTCGCAAGCGCACGTTTTGTGCATTTGTTGATGTGCGTAAGGCGTTTGACGTTGCATGGAGAGATGCAGTCTTAGTCAAGCTCGCAGAAATTGGTATCACGGGCTCGTTATGGAAGCTTTTGGATGACCTCCTGTGCAACACGCGTGCCAGTGTTCTGGTCAAAGGGGTATTATCACAACCTTGGGAAGAGCACGCTGGGGTACGCCAGGGCAGCGTTCTTGGCCCCTTGTTGTTCAATATTCTTTTTGATGGCATCTCTGCGGCAGTGCGTGCTGCTTGCCCGGGTGTTGCCTTAGGTCCTGGGCTCGATGCACCCCGTGTTACCTTGCTGCTCTATGCAGATGATTTGGTTGTTCTGGCCGAGACCCGCCAAGAGTTGCAGCGTGCTCTTGATGCCATCGGTGCTTGGGGGGCTCGTTGGCGCTTCTCCTTCGGAGTTGGCCCTGAGAAAACTGCCGTCCTTGTGGTCGGCAGTAGGTCCGTGGATGTCCACTTCTCGCTTCAGGGCTCCGTCGTTCCGGTGGTACCCGAATACCGTTACTTGGGTGTTGTTTTCCAATCATCCAAAAAGTGGAGTAAGCAGACGGATCGCCTTCTTGAGAACGGTGGGCGCAAGTTCCACCAATCCATTGCGTGGGCTGAAAACCGTGGTTTGCACACCGGTTTTCGCCGCAGCCTTTTCCAAGCCTATGTGCTGCCTTCAATTCTTCATGGCGCTGCCTTCCTAAACGACGCATGTGTGCGCCCTTGATAAACAGGTGCTGCAATGGGGTCGCCGCCTACTTGGTTGGCCTCCAGGTGCCCCAGGTGCGGCAGTCTTGGGTGAACTCGGTTGGGGCCCCTGTTCCCTGGAGATCCAAAAGACCCAAGCAAGCCTTTTTGGCCGTGTTTGCTCAGCTGACCCGCATGGTGCCCACCGCAGTCTGGCTGCTCGCGTTATCCGCTATGCTGTCGGTATTGCTTCCTCCTGGGGGCATCAGGTTCCGAGCGGTCTGAGCAATGCGGGTATACCTTTGCCTGCTGCTGCCGGAGTCGTGCCTGGCTGTGATTATCGGTCACTTGCTCGTTGGAAACACCGGTTTGCCCGGCCTGCGCTGGATCAGCTTGGCTTCAAACTTCGTCAGGCTGAGGTGGCACAGCTTGGCTCTTTGGCACTATTCAACCTGTGTCATCCCTGTCTCAACTTTCGCTCGGAGATTCATTCTTCCAGATTGCCAAAGCATGTGGTAAGGGAGCGGACTCTTGCTCGGTGTGGCAATCATCCCTTCATTGACGGGCGTGCTGCCCGGCACCGTGGTTTGTGTCACTCTTGCCTGTGCGGGTCCCATGAATGGAGCCTAATACACGCACTGCGTGACTGCCCCATGTTTCTCCACTGGAGGAACGAGTGGTCGAACCGTTTGCAGACCTTAGGCTTCATTGATATCGGTTCGCTTTCTGATGAAATGTTTCTGCGCTTGTTGTTCGCCCCTAGTGGTTCGCAGAACACCCGCGCCTCCATCTGTGCGCATATGTCTTTTGTGGCCAGCATATGCCAAGCTCAAAGATCGTTGCTTGAGGATGCTTGAGGGCTTAGAGTCCCGCCGTGGCACTTGACGACGCATTTGAGCTGAGTTGTGCATATATGTACATTCTTTTGCCTTGAGCTCCGAGTTTCACATTCTTAGTTCTTAGTTACTGACCGCTGGACGGTTGTTTTAGGACTCGTGCTGCTGTTGGCGCTCACACACAAACTTCACTTATCATTTGGACCCTTGTCTATATATGCCTGAAGGTTGAGTTGGCGTCTGTTGGTTTATCGTTGAATGCAGCGAAAACTCGCATCTTCACAACTGTCACTTCGCCTGATACCTCTTTCCTCGACGTTGACGGAGACATGATTCCAGTTCTAAGTGGCGACGACGCAAATTTGTATCTTGGACAGAAAGCACGCGGGGACCTTCAACGTCGGTTTGTAAGAACTGGCAATCGCATCAGTGCAGCGTGGGGCAAATTCAATAAGTTGAGGCGTGTACTCGTGAACAAGCATTTGTCAATCAAAGGCAGACCGAAGCTCTTCAACGCCGTGGTAATTCCTGCGGCACTGTTCGGGCTTTCTACTTTGCCAGTGACGTCACGCCAACTTGAACAGCTTGATATTTGCCAACGGAAAATGTTACGGTGCATTGTTGGATGGCGTCGTGACGGGGATGAAAGTTGGGAGGAGACGATGCGACGCATGAACGCTCGGGTATCCTCTGCTCTCCAACAACATCCAGTGCTTCCTTGGTCCAGCGCCCATCATGCCAATCAACGCCGGTTCGTGATGAACCTGACTGTCAAGAATGCCTGGCCAACTTGGAGCCCAACGTCCCAGCACGTGAAGCATATGCGCGTGGTTCAGCGGACCCGAGCCCGGAAGAGAGTGGGCAGGAGCACAAAGGCGTCGGTAAACAAGAACTCTTCCTACTCGCGCCGCGCTTGCTGCTCTGCCACACTCGCGAACCGGGCACAGTTGGCTGCGAGGCACTGTTGCAGCGATCGCGCGACTTCCTTGCTGGACGCTGGGGGGCTCTGCTCGGGGCTACGCACGCGGCCGCGGCCGCACTGCATGCTGGCTTCGCATGTCGACAATGAAGCCAGTCGCGAACGGCGTCGGGCACTCGCGTGCGCCAACGTGCGGCGCGGAAAAGTGTCGCGGGCGCGTGTCGCCTTAGCTTCCGCAGCCATCGCACCGGGGACATCCTGGGACAGAAGGTTTGTGCAAGGCATGCTCGGCCGCCACCCTCAAGAGCGGCCGCCATCTCTGCGTTCACGCTCCGGTGGTCTGCGCTGTTGTCCTTTGCCGCAGCACGCTCCTTCGCGCAAGAATCCGGTCGCTCCCACTCACCGGCACCGCGAATGTCGATGAAGAGCAGCCCCCATTGAGCGACATCACTTCCTCCTCTCGCCAGCCGTCTCGTGTGAGTGGCGCGCGCTGCAATGCGCCTGGCAGCCTGCCTGCATGTCGGACGGTGAAAAAGGTGCGCTTAAAAAATAAAAAAGTTTCTGCCGCGTTGTCCGATCCGGAGCGGCGCCCGCCAGTGCCCCTGCACGACGTGCCTGCTGCCCTCCTCAAATCCTCTACTTCCAACCGGATGCCCCGGCCGTGCTCACTGACGCCGCCGTCGCTCAAGCTTTGCAGACCGCCAGGCGGAGGGGCTGTCGGGCGCCACGTGTGAGCAGTACAAGTTGTTGGTCGACGACGCGGAGGCGCTCGAGCTGTTCACGTACGCGGCCAACCTCCTCGTCACCGCACACGTCCCTGCAGACACTGCAAGCGGCTTGGGCCTGTCACGTTTCACCGCGCTTAAAAAGGTGCCTAGAAAAAATTTAGCAGCAGCCTTACAAAGGAGGGTAATGGGGGCAAAGGTTGTGGGGCCCGTGGTGTTTTCTTCGATCAAAGGCTTCGGGCCAGGATTCCTCTTTTGCCATCAGCTAGATTTTAGGGTTTTTGGTTTTATGGGGTTAGGGTTCAGGAGTTTAGGGTCAAGGGTTTTGGGGGTTTAGTGTTTGGGGGTTTGGGACCCCACAACCCTCAAACCCAAAGCCTTGGGACCCCGCAACCCTCAAACCCAAAGCCTTGCTTTGGGTTTAAGCTTAAAGTTCAAAGGCTTCGGGTTTGAGGGTTGAAGTGCCCTAAACCATCCTAAACCCCTAAACCCCAAACCCCGTAGCCCCACAGGCTAGAACCCTGAACCCCTAAACCCTAAACCCCCAAAGCCCTTGACCCTAAACTCCTTAATCCCAACCCCATAAAACCAAAACCCTCAACCCTATTTCATGGCAAAAGAGGAGTCCTGGCCCGAAGCCTTTGATCGAAGAAAACACCACGGGCCCCACAACCTTTGCCCCCATTACTCTCCTTTGTAAGGCTGCTGCTATATTTCCAATGGAAATCCATCATTTTCATATCATGTGAAGATCCGGTGGTATCCTTTGCAACAGTGAAGAAGAGTAAGGCTTGTACGTACAAAAGGCGGGGGAGGAAACAGGATTGATGCCTGTTGGTGCACCGGGAGAGCTGAGCAGTTGCCGGCTACACGAGAAGAAAAAGGAGGTGGTTCGGAGCCAAGCCCACCTGTACCTCCCTCTCCGAGCACCCCAGTGAAATTTCACGGAACTTTCACCCCCCGCTATAGGCTCTAATTTATTTCATGTGGGTGGCTGAAACGGATTCAACCTTATAAGGGGAGGGCTTCAGACCCCACTTCTGACAAGGGGGTATTGATGCGCGCGCTCGCTGCATGCTGCCAGCAGCTCGCCGCCAGCCTCGCAAACAGTTGTCACCAGCCAGAGCTTGCGGCGCCGGCGCAGCTGCGACGCCCCAGTTTGGGGCGGGGAAGCCAGCCTCTCATCGCGGCTTTACGCCCTGGCGAGGAGTGGGACGAACAACCAGGCGGGCCGGCTTCACATCACGACCCCCGCGCGGGTGGCAGGTCGTAGGCATGCACGTGGGGTGATCGTCCAATGCATCAGGTGCTCCGGTGATCGGGCCGGGCTGCCGTCCGCGGGCACAGCACAAACGTCTGGCGATGGAGGACCACTGCATGTTACGGTGAGGGAGCTCAACGAAGTCGACCCTGCGTTGCGTGCGTGGAACCTATGTCCGGGCAGTGTCCAGGCGTTGAGCCGTTGCTGGCCCTTCGAGACCTCATGCACAGCCGGCGCTGGTCGGATATGATTCTGATATGATGGTTCGGTATGGTACCACAGTCTTGCACATTATGATCCTGTGCGACTTGTGCGTCTTATCGGTGCTCAGAAACGGCATTTCACGTCGGGCCCGACATGCACCGAAGAATTTTCGGAAGATGCCCGATAACCCACCATTCCAGTCTATTCCACTTCTCCGCGAGCCAGTGTTAGAAACAGCAAACCTGTTTGCCAAACCACCGTTTTCTGCTTGAAAAGCGGTTTTTGGCAAATTTGCATTCTCGGCTCGAAAAGGGGGGTTTGCCAGACCTCCATTTTCGGCTCGAAACGCGGGGCAACAGGGGGGTTTGCCGATCAAAGGCTCGGCCCATTCTTTCGGGCATCTTTCGGGCTGCCGGTTGAGGGGTTTGGCTAGCCACTTCCGCGGCACATGGCCCAACTGATGTTCGTGATGCTCATTTCTTCTTTTTTTTCGGAAAAGCATTCTGCGGGAAGTCGTGCGACGGAGTCGTGCGGCCCATCGTGATGGGCGTGTCCCGCACTCAGCGCAGCGGGAGGCGGCTCGGGCCAGCTGGCTCCGCCAGCGCCAACACGTGGGCCAATGCGGGCTCGCACCCTGCGGCGCCTCTGCAAACCAGCCACGGTGCTCCCAGGGCTCTTTCCGAAGCCACAAAAATCAGAGGATCACCTGCAAAGCTTGGTGATCCTTTCATCACACAGGGCAGCAGCTTTCCGAAAGGGCCCTGCTTTTCAGCGCGCAAAGTTTCTTGGTTTGGGGTTGAGGGGTTCAAAGTTTCTGGGTTTGGGGACAGTCTGGGGTTTCTGGGCTTGGGGTTGAGGGGTTCAGCGTTTATGGCAGTCGCACTAGGCCTGGGCCTGGATGCAAAAGCGTTTCTGGTTTGGGGTTTCTTGGACACTGCCGGTGCCCAATACCCTTGCACTCCGGGCTGAAGAACCGGGGAGCTGGAAGATACACGTGGATGCCTAGCGGCCTAGCGATCTTCGTGTTACGCCTTGCCAGCGTCGGAGTTGCCATGCCGAGCTCGTGAGTGTTTTTTACAGCATATATCTAGGATGTGCTGGGATTGCTTCCCGGGTCATTCTTGGGCGGCTTCTGGGCTATCAGGCTTGAATCGGTCTGTGTTGTGGCTACAGCCATGGTTGTCGCTGTTGTTGCTGGTCCTTATCCTGCTGCCGTTGCAGCCATGGTAACGGTCGTAGCAATTGGTGTTGCTGGGCCAGGCCACTGCTGCTTGAACCCAGCTGGGTCAGACCCTTAAACATGCAGCGGCTGCCACAGCTTAGAAAGCATAGCTCATTGGAGTAACCATGAGTAACCACAAGAAAGATCGCCGTAGATTTGCCGAGGATGAAGCAGGTGGCATCTTGCTTGTGAGGACGCATGCTTACGATTGGCAAGTGGACAGGCACGTGAACCACAACAGCTCCAGGAGCTACACCCCTGCAATGGAGTTGATTGTCCAGACGCAAAGGTTCCAAGCGTGGATTGCATTCCATGCTGGACGGCATCATCCATACGAGTCTTTGGGAAATCGATGTGCAATAGTTTGCTCGAAGGTATTTGGAACGGGGCCGAATGGTCATGGAAATATCCACACCGGTGGGCACCACGGCAGCTTCCTGAGATTGCTTCACCGTTTCGAAGATACAGGGAAGCTCGTAGCATGGGGCAGGGCTCAAGGCAGGGAAGGTAGCATCAGGGGGCATAGAGGCTGGTGCATGGCAGCAGCGCGCCCCTGCTGCATTGGCGTGTCTAGCTAGCCAAGCTCGGTTTGATTTGCTTGTGCTGCCATCGCCGTCACCCACTGCATTTGTGTCAGGGTTGACGTGGCTGCGTGTCTGGCGTCGACGACACCGTAGCCAAAGTAACCGCGCCAAAGGTTGGAGGCCAACGGTCCCAGCCTTGCGCTCTGCCATGATAGAGACGATAGCGAGAGCCTTTTGATAGTGTGAACAATGCGTTGTTCTGCGAAAACCGCATCTGCATCTTGAGAGGTTTTGCCCCTGCCGCCGGTGCGGACATGGAAAGATACACAGGGGCCCCGGCAGGCCAAGGGGAGGTGCGCATTTGGATGTTTTGGTCGGTGTGATTTCGTGACGGATATTGACGTCGGACTTCCTTGGCAGGTTCGCTTGCGCGCAGGTTTTAAGCTCGACATTCTGTTGTATCTTGGCGGCAGCGTGTACACCCATAATTTCGGGATGTTCGATTTGGATACGCTAAATATCGCCGTGCACAGCGCCGTGCAGCACACAGGGCGATTTTGTGACGAGCCAAATCCCAATAATTAATCGTAATTGCATCGTATGCATTTGGTCCCATGCCCACTACCAAGCATTCGAGGGACACCATCCTAGGTGTGCCTGCAGACATGCCGGCATATCCCACAGGACATAATGGGCATCAACCATCTCCAGTTCTTAGTCTGGTTTAGAAAGTTTAGAAGTACTTGAAGGGAGAGACGTGCGGAGACAGGAGGTGGCGAGGGCAGGATGGGCATTTTTCTGTCGCAGACCTCGTGACTGCGTAAGTTCGTGACTTTGGCGTCGAAGTGGCTATGTGGCGGAATTCGAACTTGTGCTCCTGCCACACTGCCGTGCTTCTTGTGGGTGCTCAGCTTCTTCCCGCCATAGTCTGGTCTTGTCCGTTTGGTTGTACTGATCACTTACTGAATTGCCCCGCACATCCGTAATCCAGAGCGATATTTCTGTGTGCTTGAAGCAACCGTGATGGGTCGATAAGGCGCCACCTGGAAGCAGGCACGGGAGCACGGGAGCTTGAGAGTGCTGCATGGTAGCGTAACGCTGCCGCCTTGAGCAACGGCTGTTGAGATTTGCTATGCCGGTTTCGTTTCTCAAGGTCGAGATTGTCGGACTCAGCTGCTTGACTTGGCAGTGTTGCCATGGCCACTGCGCGATGCCATGGGGCAGGACGTGCGCTGCTTGCGCATCCGCGTGGCCACAATCGCCAGCAGAAGCCTTCGAATTTCCAAGAGTTGTCAGCAACGCTCAAGTTTTGCTTTCTGATAGCTTGTGACCGCGTAAAAGCTTGAGTGGCAGAATTGTCACAGCTTCTCAGCCGATACAAACATGAAAGCAAAGATCCAACGCTTTCCGGAGCTCATAAGTTCAGGAAGCAAGAAGCCCGGCTGAACGACTAGAGCTAGCATGTGCAAAACGGGAGCACACTAAAAGTGCATTGCGTGCCGAAACTCGGTCAGTCTGCCGGGTTTGAGGTATCTGGATCTGTGACATGGCAGGGACCTATACCATGACCTACCCCATGCCCCTCTGCGAGAGCCTCTATGCTTCATTGTCTTACATGCACTTATCAGAACTGGATCCTTTGTGCACGGGACCACGCAACATCTCACGTTTCGCTGCGCCGTGTAGTGGGGTGCCCTGCTTGCACGGTTGCAGTGTTATCGGATGTCGGGTGTCCGGTCCAGTATCAATATCTGTGCCCCTGTCTTTTGACCCTCTGCCTGCGTTGGCGGTTACCCGTTTGCCGGGAACCCACACTGAATGCGATTTTTTCTTTACTAAGTGAGTTTTGCCGGTGCGATCCGGTCGGGGGGGTTGGGGTTGGAATGCTGGGGGCAGTTATGCCAGGGCATCGCTCGGACCTGTTTCGTGCAGGCCACCCGTAAGCATCGATATGCGGTGCCCGACGCGGGGTGTTCTACTGGGGGTCGCGATACTGGGTGCGGTGGAACCCCGTATCAGGACCCTTATACTGCTGGAACTTCCCCCGCCCGTGCTGCGCCGCACCCGTATCGAGACCCCGCGCGGCTGGAACTGTGGAACCCCCACCACACCGCACCCCATCGTGACGCTCACGGTGCAACCCGCCCCAGCCCCGCCTAGCCAAGAAGTAAACTTCATTTCAGGACCTGGCGCCAACATTCGATGTGTTGCTGCTGCAAGGCATGTCTCATGTGGGACTCATGTTGTGTTTTGCATTGCCATATACCCGCGAGCATGTCAATCGCTTGTTTACATGGAGTCAGGCAAGCGCCAGAGAGCATCTCGGCAAGAATGCTCTTCAACGCGTGGGGAAGTACGTCGGAGTCCGAGGTAGTTATCAATCGGCAGACGGCGTTGGATGCGGAAAGATGGTGGCCAGCTTTGTAGCTTTCCTGCTGTACTGCTTTGGTCCCATGCGGTACGGCTCTGAAGTAATTTGGAACTGTACATAGCGACAATGTCTTGGGTTCACTTGTCCAAACAACAGGTAGCCAGCGCGAGGAACATGTGATCTTTCCTGGTAAGCTGTTACACTAGTCACTCGTCACATTGTTTCTGTACGGTAAGCATGGGACTCGACACCCGACACAATTGTTCAGTGAATGGAGGAGCTGCGACCAGCGTGCATGAAACTTGCAAAGAGATTTTCGGGCGGCTCACCCGTGCAGTAGCTCTCAGGAGTCTTTGCATCAGGAAAAAGTTGCCTTGTGCGTCGATCGGCGTTCTTTGAGTTGCGCACTTTTGATCCTGTTGTTGCAGAAGGTGAAGCGAATCTTTGAAATCGATGCTGCAGGAGCCTAGCCCAGTCATCGTGAATTGGTAGCTTGCTTCCATTTCCAGACTGACGAGTCATTGGTCTCGAGGGAGAGAGGGAGAAAGAGTCAGTCAGAGCCGACCACTCACGAGCAGAGGAGGGATCGGGAGGGCAAAGGGCCTGCGGGTCGCTCGACGACCCCTATGCGCGGCGGAAAGAAAGAGAGCGATTCTACTTGCATTCAGGTAAGGTTGGGATGAGCAAGGGCACAAGCCCAAACAGTGTCACGAATAAAGTTCCTTTGCTGGAGACGGGCACCCGTAGTGTAATGTTTTCTTGGTTTTGTCATGCTAGTGCTGTTGGTTACTCTCGAGCGGGAACACAGATTCTCGGCAAGAAGCTGGGGAAGATTGAGTTTACACTAGGTGTCGATTGGTGTGCTGTGGTTGCTTTGGGCACCAGCATTTTTCATGCAAACAAACCCGTACAGGCGAGCATGCCGGGAT